TAAACCTAACTGACCTTTCTTATCGTTTGTTTCCACCATTGATGCTGCCCGAGATAGAACGTCCAGCGCCGTTTCCATGTTGAATATTATCCACGATGGGTCAATCGAAAATGTTGTCTGCTATACTTGCTTCTTTATCACAAGTGCGTGCAGAACACGCGACGTTTGAGTCAATAATCAATTGTTGTACGACAAAAGTCTAAGCGTTATTTAGATACAAACAAATGACACATTTCAATCAATATATAAACTGTTGTTAAATCCATAAATATTAACGCTGTATGGAGCGAAGGAGTTCAGTTTGAACCATGACTTGCCCTCTGGAATGTTTGGAATTCTTGCCTTGGTCACATGACTAACATGCGGTGCGGTAGCAATCACGTGACCATGGATAATTCTATTTTTAGATCATGCAGGAGCTAAAAATTTTACGGTGGGCTGTTGGAGACATAAATTCACGAGCGCAGTACGGTTTACTGAGAAAAACGACCTGTCTAAAATGGGAAAGAAAGATGAATATCTATGCTGCCCTGTTAAGAAACAAGTTGGCATGGAAGTAAATAGTTGCATGATTGTTGACAAGCAATGTGCCTGTCTTTCAAGCTAGGGGCTCACGCACGTGCACTAACTGCCTTCTTCGTCGTCCCATATGCATATGGATCCAGTTTTGTGACTGGTAAATATTCCTACGGAGAGTGCATCAGTAATTGCAGATGATCTAAGTTGACGTTGAAAAAGAAAGAACTTTTAATTTAGCTCTCTTGCGTTTTTAACCATTTCTTATATGACGTCACTTGTCCGTGATGCTTTGACCTGGGCAGTACATGCAAATAAGTTGAAGGGCGACTCCCCCGACTTCCATGTAACTGCACATTTATAGATACTCTTGATCGTTGTACATTAATTTACGGAAGAGCATTAGTGCCAGGTGTATGTTTTTTATTAACTCGAAATTTCGACTTAGTAACTCGAAATTCCGACATACTAACTCGAAATTTCGACTTAGTAACTCGAAATTTCGACTTACATTGCACGGCTTTCATTGGTTGCCGGTGAAAGCAAGGATTGAATTCAAGATACTTTCTTCCGTGTGCAGTTGTTGCACATTGACAGAGCACCTTTAACATTTATTTAACAGAACAATTTTATAGGGTCAAATTGTCCACACATACTGAACATATCCTTCGCTTTTTTGTGGAGGGGGGAATGTAAAATCACACTTTCCACATTTCCGTGTTAACAGGGTGTTTCTTTTTCTTAAGCACACATACAACCATCATATGGAGAAACAACAAGTCCAAAACCCACCCTATTGTAAACTGTGCAATATCATGTGTTAAATAAGTTTTAAATGACGTGTATAGGCCAGTTAGTTTGTCACGTTTCTTTATACTAATAATGTTTTTGTAACATTATTAATTATTTACTAATACTTTGATTCATATTGTGTTGATAAAAGTTGATAAAAGTGATACTTGTTATAATATATATGTTGGGAACAATATAAAAGCATCCGATTTTACAAGAAATATAGTCAGTCCAACAATTTTGACAAAGGCCTCAGCACGCCCTATTTTGGCCACGCCGCGATACTTTCCTCAGATGTCTCACACGTAAAGTATAGGATCGGTTTTTTTTTACAGGGATGAGAAGATTATGATTAGTGAAAAGATATGTTCGAACAGATGGGATATCACGGTGCATATCCATATCGGTACCCTCTTTGCGAAATCTGCTGAAACGGTACCCTCTCTGAACATGCACAGGTTATTCTCTGCTCAAAACAAACCAGCGATGGATACCAATCCAGTAAAATTTCATTGTAATAAGGAAAGGAGGTATGTCACGTAGAAAAGATGTATACCACGGAACACTAGGATGTTTTTATTTATGCACTGATTTGTCATGTGCCCGATTTTCATGTACTGTAACTTCACAATAAGCTACAAAAAATCGACATGTCTTGCTTCGCCCATCACCTCGACATATTTTTCGGGCTGAAATGAACCTGTGGCTTGATTATATATGCATCATACATATTCAATATGTTCATTTACACATCATCTTCGGACAAATGGCAGTATATTGTCAAAAATAAATGTAAAATTCATAAAAAAACCCTACTTTCGGTTTTGCAGCGACACGGGCTACCTCTCTTCATTTGAATTTTTATATCACAGGTACCCTCTCATTATTTAACACATAGGTACCCTCAAAGCACGACATATGCCTTTATTTGCGTTAATCGTTAAGTGTGTATGTAGTAATACTTTTTACTTTTATGTAAATATTACATACTAAACGATTAACGCAAAAAAGCATATAATCAAGCACAGGTTCATTTCAGCCCGAAAAATATGTCGAGGTGATGGGCGAAGCAAGACATGTCGATTTTTTGTAGCTTATTGTGAAGTTACAGTACATGAAAATCGGGCACATGACAAATCAGCGCATAAATAAAACATCCTAGTGTTCCGTGGTATACATCTTTTCTACGTGACATACCTCCTTTCCTTATTACAATGAAATTTTACTGGATTGGTATCCATCGCTGGTTTGTTTTGAGCAGAGAATAACCTGTGCATGTTCAGAGAGGGTACCGTTTCAGCAGATTTCGCAAAGAGGGTACCGATATGGATATGCACCGTGGATATGTAATACAACGTCTGAAGAACGCCTGAACGTACAAATTAAAGGAAGCCTTGTATTTTTTATGTCGGGTGTGTACATGCCATTACTAAGTTTAAGTTAAATTTCAATAGTTTTTGTCCAGGCACCCGTTTCTCCATCTCCATCGTTCAAAGGCACTGCCTACTATATCTTATACCATCTAAAATAACTTTGGCCATTCTTGTAATGTTAATAAGTCGAAATTTCGAGTTACTAAGTCGAAATTTCGAGATAAAAAAATTTCGAGTTAGTAAGTCGAAATTTCGAGTTAGTAACTCGAAATTTCGAGATAAGTAACTCGAAATTTCGAGTTAGTAACTCGAAATTTCGAGTTAATAAAAAACATACACCTGGCACTAATGCTCTTCCGTATTAATTTCCTAAATTTCACAGTTTATGTTTCAAAATTAACTTCATAAAGGCACGACTGGATACATCCCCGGGGTTCCTATACGACAGTGATAGCTGTTTTTTTTTTAATTAAACATATATATAGCTAGACTAGATCTACATACACACAAACCCCCAGCTTCAGTCAGGACGCCGGCAGCAGAAGAGTGTTTTACAAATCGTGCAAATGCTTTGTCGACACTGACAACTTATGGACCAAATATATACAAAAGTACATGTGCATGTATATCTATACATATTAATTTGTGTGATATACGGTTAGCGCACGTATTTATTTTTTAACAAATTTATGACTGTGTACATACAGTGTTATTGCATACATTATTTCTGATATAATGCAATCACACAATGCTAGGTATGAGACCACTAAAATATTTTCCATATACAACAACAACAACAACAATGGCGACCAATGCGGTCATGCCGCTTCCGTCGGGAATAGTAGATACGCTAGAATCTGCTCTTAATGTTATAAAAACGCATGAAACCGAGACAGGCTGTCGATTTTGTGTGTACACATCAAGCAAAGCCAAAGGATTTGGTAATTCAAGTGAGTACCGATAAGGTGTACTTTTCCGTGTTGGTTTTAAACGTTTTGATAAAAAAATCTTCATTATCTTGCAAATTTTACCTATTGACAGATCTAATTCATAAAATTGTCATAGCATTTTATTAAAGCTACAGTTTCACTTACATCCCGGCAGACTTGCAACGTCCTTGATGATCCGGGAACATCCGGCATCGACCCCGGATATATACATGTATAAGGTTCATTCCGTTTTCTTTAGTGTATTATATACAAGTTTTAGACCTGAAAAATACATAGGGGTCTTATCCAGGAGATTGCCTAAAATATTTAGTATCACCGGGGTGGTCAGGGATTATCCGGGAAGGTATAGCTTTGCTGGCTTCATCCTTAGCTCTGCCGTGAACAACCTGGGTTATACCGTGTAAGCACCATACTAGCTCTGCCGGCACAATCCGGGGATGATTGAGGTATTATATAGCTGGTAGAGCCCAGGTATATGCCGGCAGAGCCCCAGTAACTACAGGCAGAGCCCCGGAGGATAAAGGTTAAGCTACAGTTGATGCCGGTAGAGCCCCGGCAAAGCCCGGATCATTTCAAAAGAATAACCACAATTTGCGATGATTGCACTTGTTTGTATTAAAAGCCTTCCCATTTCCCTTCTATCCAGTATGGCATAAGGATTTTTCAGAAAATCATGAATTATTATTCTGGAACAATAGATATTATATTAAATAAAAATTATGTATTAATGTTATCATTTTGTGGCGTTTCAATCCACCAGGGCTCTGCCTGGATTGTCCTGGGCTCTGCCTGGATTGACGGGGGCTCTGCCTGGGTCAACCGGGGCCCTTCCAGCGTCATCCGGGAACGACCGGGGAAGCACCGTCATGAACCTTAGCTTCACCTGGGCTCTGCCTGGATGATCCGGAGTGCATCCTGGGTGGTTAGTAGGGGACTACTGTAGTGCTACCAGGGTAAGTGTGTCAGCAACAATAATTTCATCCTGGATCGTCCGGATCATCCCTGTAACTTACCGGAATGGTCCTGGGCTCTGCCGGGAGTAAGTGCGACCGCAGCTTAAAGTACAAGTAGATCTACTACTGATCTAATTACATAATTCGGCAATATCTGGATTAGACCCCTATGTATATTTCTGGAGTAAAACTTGTATATAATATTCTAAAGAATATATCCCTTTAAATTTTCTAAAACAAATACTTTAAATGATATTTCTTTCGTTGAATTCCTGTCAGTACTTGTAAGTACTGTACAGTTACTTCTACAGAGTTGTTTACTTTTTATGTGTACAAAGTACACTAGAATGTAGAAGCAAATATTATTTCTGTTTTTTTGGAATGAAAGTAGATTCTTTTTTGAAAATTAATATGGAGATTTACATACAATCTGTAATAAAAATATCTGAATTTTAGAATTAAATCTTGTTAAAACGTTCATTTTAAACAGTTTGGCCTATGCAACGTAAGTGGTTTGAAACGAACATGGTTGTTCATAGATTTCCAATGGAAGCCACTTTTTCTGTTTGACTAATTTGATTTTTATGTTGTGGATCCCAGCTAGACTGTTGAAACATTATTCTAATTCTGGTCTTAACATTGTTTACAGGCAATGGTCTATTACTTAAGAGGAATTTACATTTTTGTATCCTTAAAGTTTCTTCGGAGGAAGCAGAGCGTTTGATTTGCTTTGTTACAAATTGAATTTAAATGATTGCTGTAAATTGTTTCAAAGGCTACAGTATACTGTATATATTTTGCAGATGTTACTTTTTCTTAGTTATTATTATGGAGTTTTTCAAATATTTTGAGTCCTTTCAGCAAGTTAAAATAAATATTTTCGAACTAAAGGGTACAATTTTTATAGCATCATATTGTGTTATTATACTTTATTACTAGGTAGATTTCTATTACAACAAAATGTTCAGTGGAATCAGAAAACTTTGGGACTATATCTCTGAGCAAGAAGATCAGACGGATACATCTAATGGTAATGAATTTATAACAATGATTAGCCCCAGTGACGATTCACCTAACAACTATTCACCCCACTTTAGTGACGATTCACCCCAGATTAGTGACAATTTGCCCTTCTTCAAAATTATCATTTAGATAAAAAAAAATTAATCTCAAATGTTATTTATATTAAATTATATTTTGGTATATTTGTAAATAAAATGTTTATTTATATTTCGTCACCTTGGAGCAAAAAGTCATGTAACTGACATTTTTTGAGAAAATCACTTTTTGTCATTATTTGGTTAGAAATACAAAGTTTCACCAGTCTTCGAAGTTTAGAAACTATATTTTGATAAAAAATGACTTTTTTGGCATAAAAATAAAAAACGTAAGTGCAGCTTCAGAATTTGTTGGTGCAAAAACTACAGTAAGTACACTAACATGAGTTTTTGCGCCAATGTTTTTACAGATAAGTTGAAATTATTTGATGCAAAAAGTATTGTAACTGCATTAAAATATTCTACTTTTGCATTATTCAATAGCAAAATTATTTCTAAAATACAAATTTTATATATAAATCTACTTTAGGAAACTAACATTTGAAAAAAATGTTTTATTTTAATTTGACAACAAACAATATAGCTAGGAATTTTTCAGTATTCAAATTTTTTTTTTTTTAAATGATTCAAGTAATATTAGAGCTGTCATTGATTTGTTGGAAAGCAAATTTAAGATGAAAAAATATTGATGATATAGAGGATATTTGTTTGTTTGTGTGTAAGATGAAATTTTATTTCATCGAGTGGGCTTTAAAAACAGTATTCTCACGAGTGGCGTAGCTTTGGTTGAATTTTCACAATTTCTAGACATTCAATTATTAAATCAAAATCATATGTGAACTGATCAACAGAAAAAATATCAACGATACATCAGTATCATTTCTATTGATGACAGCTCTAATGCATGTGTATTTTTTTAATTGTTTACTCAATTATTTTTCATGAAAATAAAGATAAAACTTGCTTTTCTTATTGCATGATACTCGTAAAAGGACAACTGTATTACAAAAATGTAATAACTGCAATATCACTGTTTATACATGTAGCCTTGAATTGCTAACATTGGTTTATCTTTTCTCTTTAAATTTCTATAAAAACATGGCAGACAAAGGCATATAATCTGTTTCAATAATATATTGGTCACATCTAATGTGGTGCATCTACAACTCCCATACATTCATACATAAAGAATGGGGTCATATCAAAAATTAAGAATGACTCAGTTTATTCCCTATGTCGTGCATGTAAAACACTTTAATTAACAGAAAATCTCAATTTTCAACAATTGTACAAATTGCACATAGACCCAAACCAAATTATGTCACAGACATTAACCTGAATTTTTAAATATAATCAAAACTATTAAACCATAATTATGATATGGTGTATAAGACTCAAAGTTTGGTGGCAGGAAATAAGACAATTTGAAAACAATATATCAAAATTTTGAAAAGGAGAAGCAATGAAAACAAAATTATATATAAAAATTGAAGTTTGTTCATGAGTGATAATATAAAAGGATCTCACTGGGATATGTTGGGCAAGAAAAGTTTAGGATTCTTAGCAGGTTCATCCAAAATCTTAACTTCATCCAACCAAAATATTCAGAAAAGTTCAGGATTCCTAGTGGTTTTATCCAAAATCTCAAAGTCTACGTCCCTGTGATGGTTGGATATTATTGAGACATAGATATTATGATATATAGATCTCCAAATACCCCTTTTTATAACAAATACATAAATAAACTGTACCATTAGAAAATGACAACAGTAAAAAACATGGTTAACAAGTTTTCACGTACTTCACTTCAGTATTGTTATGTTTTTTCTGGTCCTCTGTAGTTTGAGAATTTCAGCTTAAGTCGGTGCTAGGGGGTGTCAGGGCTGTTGCACTTTTCATTATTGCTCATGTATACAGACTAAATCAAGCCATGTCTGCAGTTTTCATGTAATTTTGTTGTGATTAATGCTTACATTTACTTTGTAAGTAAAAAAAACACACTGCTTTGGACTTACTGTTACTGTTTAAAATTAATTTTAAAATATTCAATTTTTAAATTTCATATGTTTAATGTAATAAATGTGGTTCATAATCCATAATGACACATTTTAAACAAACCTTGCAATTAATTTGTTTATAATAAACATCTTTAAATGTCTATGCAATGCAGTAACTTCGATACTTAAAATTAAAGTTAGTGCAAAAACTATGGTAAGTGCACTTACATCACTTATTGCGTTTAAAATCACAGTGCAAAAAGTCATGTAAGTGTAGAAGAATGTCTAATTACTTTTTATACATAAATGAATAAGTGTAATGTTAAAAACCAATTTAATAATACTTTTTAATGATATTTTAACATTATTGTCTGGAATTAAAATGGTTTACTCAAAATGAACAAATCAGTTTTTTGTGTCTCCTGTAAAATTTCAAAAATGTCAGTTACAGTACTTTTTGCGCCAAGGTGACGATTTATGAACAAATTGGTCATTTCAACTGTTGGCTTATCAACATTAAAACTAATGACGATTCGTCCCACTCACTCACTGTTCAATATATAACTACATATTTACCTTGATCTAGTTTATTTACAAATATAGAATTTAAGTTTTAAAAAATTACATGATGTATGTCATCTTGACCAATTTAACCTTTACCGGTGAATATCACATCATATTCACTGGCTCACTGGTCAGTTTAATATTGTATTTTTGTATTTTTTCATTGTCAAATATAGCTGAATTTACTATTAACTATTTAAAAAAATAGACTGTTATGATTGTGAATGACAAACAGTTGATATTGGAAAATGTTAAGGATAAAATATAAATCTGCCTAAGATATAAAAAGAATGCCCCACTCTCTTTATAAATTGAACATTACAGGTAAATTCAGATGGATATTCAGGGTTGTCATTAAGAGGCGGCAGGAGGCCAAAATGCCTGTCTCAAATGCATTATGGGCCGCCTCAAAATTAAGAAAACACTCTTTGTTATGCATGATAAAGACAGAAATGACCGCCTCAAGTTCAAAACAAACCTTCTGCAAAAAATGTTAATGACAACCCTGGATATTTACAGAAATTTCCTTTAGTCACATATGACTTATTTATTGTTCCTGCGTTCAAGTACATGTAAATTATATAATTCAAAGAAATTATGGCATAGTATAAACTTATTTTGACTTTCACCTGTTCACTTAATATACCCTTGGATAGAACCGCCTCCGTGGTCGAGGGGTTAGAGTCGATGACTTATAATCCAGTTACCTCTCTGGCGTGGGTTCGATCCCCGGGAGATGCTTTGGAATTTTTAGCACGGAGGAAGGTAGTCTAGTACTGGTGTAACTCTCCAGGAACAATGATTAGAAAACTACCCGCCTTATGATATGACTGAAATACTGTTGGGAAAAGGCGTAAAATGAAACAAACAAACAAACCCTTGGATGGACATAATGTCACTTTAAAAGTACTTTATTATTGAAGTTTCCTTACAGAGTCTCAGCTTGTTGTTGGAAATGGAGCTGAAGCTTGCAGCAGGAGAGAGTATGAAGGAAAGATAACTCATATATTCAGCAGTCATGGTCTCATTGACAATGAAGTATACTTTTCATTTGATGATGTTCTTGGTGGAGTAAAGCCAAATCTGAATGATGTCGTAACAGTGGTCGCTGCGCAGCATCACTCTGAAGGTGGCTGGCATGCGGAACAAGTTAGTGTAGTCGAGAATTGGGAAGACCAAGATTATGAAGTAGCAGAGGTTACACAAGCTCCTTCAGAAATTGTCGGTCATGTTGGTGACTTTAATGGCAAAACTGGTTACATAGGCAATGTGTATTTTGACTTAAGTGAATGCAAATGTGAAGATTTTAAGCCTGCAAAGGGTGATTTGGTAAAAGTGTGTGTTGTTTATCCGGACGGGGACACGTTTTCTCCTGTTGCTAGTGAGATACAAGCTTTACGTGTGAAGGAAGCAGACGGCGTGATATCAGGAGAGAAGGGGGACCATGGTTATATTGATGGGGAGGTGTTTTATCTTAGTGATGTGATAGTTAATGATTATATACCACGGAAATGGGATCCTGTCCATTACAAGGCAGTGGAAAGTTTACAAGGGCGGTCAAGTTGGAGAGCTGTATTCATTGAACCATCTGAAAAACCGCAAAAAGCAAAGTATGTATTGCTTTTTTTTCCATTTTAATATACCCCAAAGAATGTCAAAATGATTTGGTAGATTCTTTTCATTCTATTTACAAGAATGTTTTATTTACAACTAAAAGTTTTAGCATTTTGCATCAACTTGAAAACTGGAAACATAGGTGTTAATAATTATAGCTTTTGAATTTTTTTTTGAATTTTTTTTTTGAAACAATCACAAAAAAGTACATAAAACCAGCTAAGTAAATAATTAATTGGACATCCTATCCAAAAACACAGCTAAAATGGCTTCACACTTTGCCCTTTGCATGTTAAAGAAAATCATTGTTTGGCAAAATAACAAAAAATTCTTATTCTAGATTTTTTTTCAAACAGTTGGAACCTTCTTCAAGGTCCATTACAGCAGTCATTCACTAAAGAGCTTCTCTCTGACAAGGAAGGAGTATGTGTTTCCAAGGAGACAGATTTTGGAACCATGGCTGTTGGAAGAAAACTCACATTGTCTGTCATTGTTGAGAACAAAGGTACCACAGAACAGACAATGTGTAGATGTCATATGACCGCATCTAGCTCACAGATTAAAATCCAAAATATCTCCGTGTTTAAGGTGAGGTTTTATACTAGACCTGTTTTAAAACATTATCTCAAAATTATATTATGATACAAAAGGAGGTTATTTGTATACTTTGGTATGAGAACAATAAATTATAGAGAAATGATTACAAAGTTTGAGACAGTTAGTGAATGAGATCAAAATGTGAGGATTTTTTCCTACATGAAAGTTATCTCCTCATAGTTTATCAGTTTTAAGTGAATACCATTAGAAAAAATAGTACAATTATTTAGACTTTTAAAATAAAAAAAAATGATTTCTAATTTTGGAATTAATCACATGTTATTTGAACACAATAGTTGCTTAAAGCCACAGTGACTATGAGCTATTTTTTTTTGCTAAACCATGATAAAAAAGGCTTATAAATTCAATGTGCCTGGACCACTTCCAAATTTTGATTGGCCACTTTTTCACAAGTTCCATAAGTATTGATGAGAACAACAGAAATGTATCAATAAGATATTCTTATGAAATGCTGTCTGAAAAATATGTTAATGATAAAGTTTAAGTGATTTATTATAAACATCTATATGATGAATAATGATTTTTGTTCTAGAACATTTGATTATCTACTATATAAATATATGAGCCGCGTAATGACAAAACCAACATAGTGTGTTTGCGACCAGCATGGATCCAGACCAGCCTGCGCATTAGGGCAGTCTGATCAGGATCCATGCTGTTCGCTTACAAACCCAATAACAAGTAGAGAAACTGATAGCGAACAGCATGGATCCTGATCAGACTGCGCGGATGCGCAGGCTGGTCTGGATCCATGCTAGTCGCAAACACACTATGTTGGTTTTGTCATGACGCGGCTCATATGTAATTTCAGATACTGTATCTCACACTTGCCAGCAACATCCATATATAATTTTATTGTGGTTTGTAGATGTTTCTGATACTAAATACTGTCAGTGTCTTTATTTACTATTATTCCATTATAAACCAATTCACTTTAAAATTTATAGATACCACTGTGTTTTGAAATGAATCAATTAAGCATATCTAACAACTTCCAACTGATTTGTAGGCAAATAGGGAGCTTGTCAAAACATTTGGTTCTGGAAGTAACATCGGAGATTTGACACTATGTCCAAACATGAGTGTGATAGTAAAGCTGGATATTGATGCAAGGTATTTGTAACATTTACAAAAGTGTATAAAGCTATAAATCTGATGCCAAAATTATTGTTTGATTTTTTTTAAAAAGTATACATTGTACTTACAAAATGCGTTATGAAATAGATATAGTAATTATTTGCCTTAAAAGCGAATGGTGCATGCACACAATCATTGGTTTAAACAGATAAAACCTTGCTTAAAATAGCAAAATAATATTTTGTTCCGGAACATTTTATTCTGTTTACTAGATTGTTCATGTATATTAAATAACAGAGACATGCTATGTTAAAACATTTTTGGAAGTCAGCCATATAATAATAGAACCAATTATAATTTTACTGTTGATAAATTTTATTAAAATATTTCATAAAATATAGATTTATACCCTTTAAAGTTGTTCCTGGTGTATCGCAGTGTATTACTGTATAAGTGGATATTTCCACGTATTGAAAAGATAGTGAATTTGAAATTAAAGACATTTCGCATGAGGAAATACTAGCTTTTCGTTGGGCTAGTTACCTATACTGTGTTGGTGTGACTTAAAACCTAAACAAACAAAGCTCTGATAATCATGTTACAGTAGGTAACGTTTTTTTCTGTTTAACCCAAAGTTTTATATATAAAGTTTTTACTGACATAAATTGTTCATTTTAAAAGTATTTTCTATTTTATGTTGTTTTTGGGTGATTCTTCAATGCAGCTGTGCTTTACCACAGTGATCCTAATTTGTCCTTTAATTTTTGCTATACTTAAGTAATTCAGTGGTATTGTTTTCATTCACAGATATCAGGGCCAGGAGAAGCAGTTACTGATCTTCACCTTTGAGAAGTTTAAGATAGGTCGCTATATTACTGCCAACATTACAGACCCTGTAATGTCCCTCATAGATCATAATCAACCATATACACAGGGTGGGAGACAGGGATATAACAGATATAGGGAGAATGTAGATAGATCAGCAACTCCATGGATGATTCCTGGGGAGAGACCGAACAGGTAGTTGTATGTTTGACACTTTAGTGACACTAGTACATTGCAGATTTCTAATATTACTGTATAAATGGTTAAGTTAGTGACACGGAAATATTGGCAAATTTCAGGAATTGACGAAAATCGCTTAAATGTTCTCTTGCGTAAATATCAACCAACATGTCATTAAATTCTACCCTAGCACAATTTATTAATATTCCCTTAGGCAAAATGCCTGGAATTTTAAATTCGCTAACTTTTTTAGATATCCCATTATACAGTATTTCAAAACATATACTTCCTGTATTCTGAATCAGTACAAATTGTTTTTCCAGAAAGTGTCTGCCAATTTTCTATAAAAATCAGTTGATTCATTGTGGTGGAAAAAAATTACCATTAAACAAATTGTCTGCATTTAAATCATCATTGCTAAGGACTACATAGGTTTTATGGCTTTTAAAAATATTTTGTGACCATGAAAAATATCATTAAAAATTTTACAGTCTCAATTTTTTTTTTTATCTTACCCCGTAATAATAGAAAACTATCTGAACAGGAACAAGAAGACTGTACAGTTTCCCCACAGATTGCCTCATTATAACGTACCCGAGGATCTCCGCCAAATCATCCTCACTGAAGAAGAGTTACTTTACTACGCACCAGTGTTAGCTGAGGTTTGTCATGTTTTTGGTTTTGTAAAGAATTGCATTGCTTGTCACTCAGATCGGGCTATTAATCACACACAAAAAATTGATTTTCAATTTAATTTTAAACATAATTGTGTATTATCCTTTGCACATTTTTCCATTTTAGTCCTTTACTTGATCTATGTAAGGTTTTCAAATTTTATGTTTTTATGCTTTTTGATTTCTTCAGTGGATCTCCTGCAAGTTTAGCAATTTGATATTTGCACCCCTTAAAGTAACAATGAAAAGGTCCAGGTTCGAGGGTCATCAAGTGCATTAACAAGTATACAATAACAGAAGTGAATGGGATTAGAGACAGAAATAATTAGCATTAAACACCTGTTTCATTTATTTCCCAACAAACACAATTGTATTCAAAATAAGAAGAAAATGGAGAAGTACAACACGTCAACACCAGCGCTGGTTTAGGTTATTTAATTTTCAACCGGTTTTGGTTCTATCGAACCTTCATCAGGATAGTATATACATTGTAATTGTAATAAAATCCGATTTATTGTCATAGGAACTGACATATAAAAACTACAGAGACAAGTTTAAGATGCTGCTACACCTAGAGGAGATACAGATGGACATTGATATCAGAGAGTTTGATCTACACAGGGTAAATTCTCGTCTTGATTTCTTTTCGTAATATTTTGATTAGGTTTAATTCTAAATTTTAACAGTATAACAGTTATCATAACTTTTATAATACTGCTCGTTTGTAACGTCGCTTTTCATTGGATAATCGTGACGTTTATATAGTTTTACATACACGGCTGCTGTCGATTTATAAAAAATCTCGCTTTATTCCTCTAAAAATGATGCTGGCTGTATTATAAATTCGTTATAAATATTTCTCGTCTAGCGGCTCAGGTTATATTTACAAACAACCATTTATATAGGGCCATATAACCTGTCAAAAATCTTTATAACTAATAATATACCAGCAGGCAGCTTACTAACAAATTATTTTGTATTGGTACTATTCTATTTATCTGAAGGGAATCACCAGATTCGCCACATATTCAAGAAATTTGCAGTGTAGGGACATTTTGCACAGGAGAGTGTTGTCGTACAAAATTTCACACAAAAACATTCTTTCAAAATACATGCTTAAGACTCTGACCAATAATTTTGAGATGCAATACCCCTTTCTGTTCTGAGCTGACCAGGTAAATCCATGACATAATATACAGTAATACCTCTGCAGGGTGGCCCTATTCTATAACAATAACAAGTAGTAAATTAACCTCTTTACACCAAGAGTATCATTTCGTACCAAAGTAATGACAATAAATTTAACTTCCCGAGAGCAACATCTTCTAGTTACAATCCAAATTGTTTTCTCCCAAATAGTGTTGCTCTGCAAAGCTCTCACTGTATACATGTATATATTTAAGGTGATTTTTAGCACTTTTTTTAGATGGAAGAATACATTGACAAGTTTTATGATTTTCAGGTTTGTCTAAGACATTTCAGTGAATATCTGGCCCTTCCTGTGCCCGGCTTAGCTGAGGGAAGACCTTCTGTGTTAATAGGTGATAAGGTCATTCTGATTGACCCCTCTGACCCAGATGGACCTTGCTTTGAAGGATATGTTCATGAAGTAGGTTAAAAGTTTTTTTTTTATTTTAAAATAAATTACTATTTCCCTATCAAAAATTTATTGTAGGCTTGTTTTTTTAAAGGAAAAAAATGTATATGAAAGATGAATTCCATTTATTTTCTAGAACTCTGTCTATATGTTTGTGTGTATATTTGTAATTTGTTGAAACTCAAGCTTTTGGTTTCTTCTTTCTGATGTCCTCTGAATGAACGGCCTATTAAGGACGTTTTTTTTTCAATCATTACTTGCACTGATTGCAGATTTTAAAAGATGAAGTTCTCCTGAAGTTTAATCCAGATTTTCACAGGACATATACTGGAAAAGATTATAATGTTCAATTTACTTTTAACAGGTAAGTTCTTAAATGTTAATTTTATGACTGGCATACTTTACTTTAATGAAGTAGATATTTATAAGTTTACTTTTGGTGTTTTTATTGTCATCGATGTACTAAACATAGGGATAGGGAGTTATTTTAGAAGTCATAAGTTGGTTGGTAGTCACATAATGAAAGTTGCTGCATTCTGTATTAATACTCATAAGTTTTGTATTTTTTCGCCTGTGTTGAAGGTAAATGACACAAGACCTATTGTCCAAATAGGCGAAAAATGCTAACCCAAGGACTAAATTAGGGTAATCCACTGACTTAACAGTTAGTATTTGAATAAGAACTTTGAAATATACAGCAATTATGTTGTACAAGAGTTTTGTTTTGTATATATGTTTATTTATTACAGAGGCCCACTGAGGAAATGTCACAGAGCATCAGAAAGTGCCAATGGTTTAGGAGAAAACAGTATGTAGATTGATTATTATTGTTTATACAGTAGCAACATTTCTAAAATAGAATACAAATACTGACATGAAATATATGAACTTTGTTGTCCCCCACCTTTTCGAAAAATTAAGAGGGATATAGAAATGGGCTCTGTCCATTACACTTTTGTGTCTGGTCGATAAGAAAGCCATTCATGAAAGGACTTTAAAATAACTTGGCACAAATGTTTGTTGTTATGTGCAACGCCCAGACTCCTACCTCCAATGTCAAGGTCACACTTGGTTATTAAAGGTCAACATTGTCTGTTTGAGAGTATATGTCTTGCAGAGCTCCAGATAATTTTTTTGGCCAAGGGGTTTTTACCCCTCAAAATTAAGAGTGAGGGGTAAAATGCAAAATCTGAAAAACGTAAGGGGTAAAATCTGTCAAAAAGCATTTTGCATTTTTTATCAATAAATTAAACTTATTGTTTTTGTTTGTTTGTTTGTTTATTTTCTTTTTTTAGAAAAACCTTTACAAATAAAATACTGATTCAATGTGAAACAATACAAAACATGCCCTGTAAAGTCAGACTTTCAGAGTATACTGGAACTCAAGAACACAGCAAAATTATCAGGGCTTCCATTTTCAAAATTTGGAAGTAAAAGACTTCAAAATTTCTGATATTGGAAGTCACATTATATAGGTAATGAAGGAAAAGTATTAGATTTTCGGAAGTCACAGGCCAAAATGAAGGAGTAAATGACTCCTTAACTTCCACTAGTGGAAGCACTGAAATTATTTTATTTTCTAGGAGTCAATATTTTTCTTTCTTTATTTCTGTTGGCATGTACCTTATCATGTACTCCAGTCTGAACAATTATTGTTAAAATTAGAATTAAAAAATAATAAACAAGATTTTTTTAATCTTTCCTAAAAAGAAGTATTGGTCTGAGAGAAAATTGTCCGTAAATGCAGACTGGGTACGAAAATAGGGATGTACTATTCTCCGGTCCGGTCGCTTCCGGTCTCTCCCGGTCTATTTTGACCGGAATTTACGAGAGACCGGCGAATAGTATCATATTTTCTGGCCCGGTACGTGCCGGTCTTCTAAACATTATTCGATCTTTCTTGATGAAAATGTGTTGATATAAGACAATTTATTTTTCATATATAATGTATTTCGTTTCAAATAAATTGTTTTTATTATGTCTTTTTTGTTGTTGTTTTTAATAATTATATAATTTCATCAAAGATAAAAATGTAAAAGCGTATTAATTACGGGAAAAGATATTAATCATTTCATGTGAGCATAAAATGTTATAAATGAAAAAGCATATTAATTACGGGGAAGTCTGTTAATTGGGCAATTTTACAGCGGTTTGTACTTCTTTCATTATTTGATAAACAAGTGCAGCATTAATATTATATAACGACTAATATAGATCAAAGAAAAAAAAAATCCGACCTGTAAATAGAAAGTCTATAGCAAATGATGGCAATATTTAAAAAGACAATAATTGCAAATAAAAGTATTAAACAATTAAATGGTTATATATTAATTAATTGACTTTGATGGTCTTGTTTTTTGTTTTGTTTTTTTTTGCTGTTGTATTGCATTGTTTTGAAATTAAATATTTAGTTATATGAATAAAACATTATCATTATCACGTTACATTGCCTTTTTTACATTTTGTAAATGATAAAATATTTTTATAATGTTACATTATATGTATATAATATAAAATGTATATCATTATTTATAATTGCTTTTTTTTTGTGCATAATGTTGCTGTATATATGTTCTCTGTTATTGTTAAAATTATAAATGATTGACGATATTTCATGCCGATTTTGCCGGAAAAAATGTGCAACAGTCTTCTCTTTTAAATTATAACATTTTAATTTATACTTACAATTGTTAGTTTTTTATGTTCATCAATAATATCGTGATTATCAATGGCAATGTGTGTGTATTTGCGTTTATTTATACTCGCCACCGGTTGCCCATATGGGCGAGTCCTCCAGAAGAGTATTAGTCATTTTAGATTTTTGGAGGATAGTGCAATTACAGATACAGAAAGATGCCCCAATTCCAGAAGCTTCTCCTGGTTCTTTAGCGTGCCAAGTGTTTAAGCACCCATACACGGGACCTCGATTTAAAGTCTCATCCGAAAGATTGATTAGTAATTTTAGTTGGCCAGCCCGGGAATCGAACCCACAATGTCGAGATTACAAGTCTCGCGCTCTAACCGATTGAGCTATGCGGGCTGGCTGATCAATGGCAACGGGCATATAGTATCATTTATAATCTGTTTGTGTAACGCATGATCAACAACACCACACTTGTTTATTGTCCCTTATTATGTAATCACTATTGTCGAAGTCCCCATTATTAAATATCTTAAGGTATCTGTTCACACTTAATAAAAATGTGACACTGATTAAATTACCATGTTGATCATGTTGAGCATAATTGTTTTAATATACAGTAATTGTAATATCTGTTTTAATATATCATTTTCTTCATCTTTTATGATTTTTTTACCTTTTTTATGTTTTATGTGCTATTTTAATACTGAGTTATTACGTTTATTTTAATTATTACTATTTTTTATTATATAAATTTTAAGAATTCAATTGTCATGTTGACCGACGATTTTGAATTATTATCTGGAAAAAGTAAGTAAATTATGATTAATCTTTCAATACATTGTATTCATTATTCTTAAACAATTTATTTATTATTGTTTAAAAAAAATAATATCAATCAATTAAATAATTTATAAAATCTACTTTTAACTTAGAATCTCTTTACTAAACGCGAATAGCAAATTAAATAAATGATTCATCAATACCATAAAAATGTACCTTTTTATTCAATGATTGTATGTATTAATTGTTTTTATCATACTTAAATAAAATGAACTGTTAATATTATTATTTTTAGAATTGAACGTTTATGTATAGTTATAATAATAATAGATCTAATAAATAAATAAACTTGAGAAATGATCTGTGTTAATTAATCAGTGTAACCAAACTTAGTGACAAACATTCAATTTTGGGAAAAAAAAAACTTATTTATTTGTCACGATATCAAATAAAATTTTTATTCCTAAACCGGGAGAGACCGGACAATAAACGTGTGATACTATTCGCCGGTCTCTAGTAAAATCCGGTCTAAATAGACCGGGAGAGACCGGGATTTGCCGATAGGAGACCGGAGAATAGTACACCCCACGAAAATATTGAGTACAAAACTGCAGGTGAAAAACATGTTATTTTGTTGCAACAACAAAAGTGAAAGAAATTAAAATATATTTTTGTTTATATTGAGTCATAAGCATGTCAATAGATGCCTAAACAAACTTTATACTATGTTAACGACTGCGATGATTATCTGGCACAAATTTTATCAATAAATTCACAGGTTGATTACGGGAGTTACCTCCCTTCTGTACTTCCTGCTACTTTCGTTTTTGACAACAGAATTTTTAGTTTTCAATGCAATAAAATGGAAATATATTGTATTTTTTATGTTCAAAACATCCTCTTTCTCAATATCAAATGTTTACACGCTTAAATTTTGACATACAAGCGTATTTTCATTTTGTTGTGCATAACTGTGACGCACGAATTTTGAAAGTGATGCGTATTTTAGATTTTCTATGCGTATTTTACGCTTATACGCACGCTATCTGGAGCTCTGTCTTGTCCATAACTTTCTCATCCATCAAGGAATTTTAAAAAGACTTGGCTTAAAATGTTCACAATAATGTGACAGTGTGTCATGCGCAAATCCAGATGCCTACCTCCAAGTTCAAGGTCACACTTTGAGGTCCAAGCTTAACATCTCCTGTTACAGGGTATATTTTGTGTCGGTCAAAGAATTTTGAAATTAACTAGCACAAATGTTCACTATAATAAGACGATGGTCACATTTAGAGGTCAAATCCTAACATGATCTGTTACAGGGTTTTATGCCAAGTCAGGCCTAAGCAAATAAATTGGTGAATTGCCCATATACCTTCATTGATGGAATATTTACAGACCAGACATGAAATACAGTGGAACTGTCCAAATGTGTTCGAGAGATCGGTAGTTCGAGCCAACTGAGGTTGAACTATTATCACATAAGACATAGACCTAAAGGTTTTCTAGCCTACATCGGTCAAATGATAAATATGTCAATATAATAGTTTGTTAGTACATCAGTTCGTCGAATACGTCATTTCTTTTAGATATTAAGAATTGTTATTCCAGTGTTTTCAAATGAGAATTAACGGTACACTGTGTTAATCTACATTCATGCATATTGGGCAATCATTTTCCAAACTTGTTGAACAATGTTCAAAATATATTTCAATGTTTATTATGGGATAGTTTTAATTATAAACAATAAATAAATAAAATATCAAAAAACACATTTTACAGCAGCCTCCATTTGTAGTCGTTTACTAAAATAAACACAAGTACAAGTATCATTCAATAAATAGATTACACTGATACAATTCACGTTACATGCACCGTGGCTGTAATTAAAGCCATCCGGGTAAACGTCATTTATTTATTGCCTTTGGACATTCTACTTATTTCACGAGTTATTTTCTTTTTGTCGTTACTACAAACGGCAAAGAAACAATATTGACATAACAAACAAATCATTAATTGCCTTTATCACAATCACAAGGTGTTAAAAACATGTGTCGCCGGCTGTCACTTATTTAGAACATGTCGACCTGCAACTTTTGTTGTCTGTTTGTGTTCGACCGAAAAGGTGTGATTTTCACTATATTTCTGCCGAAGGGACCAGAGATCATGTTCCAGAGTTCGAGTGATCGGTTTTAGAGCGATCCGAGGTAGAACAATATATATTATATAGGAATTTTGCCGGGACTGAGCAATGAGTTCGAGCGAAGGGAAGTATTCGAGCGATCGGAGTTCGAGGGAACAAAGTTTAACTGTATATCCAGTAACACACCATACCCTATATTGTTTTTGTATTTGTCACATTTTGTGGGATTCAATATAGAAATGATAAGATTAAGTCACCAACAGTTTATAAGTATACAACATAATCTGTATGAACATAATTATGCAGATGAGTTTGGTTCTATAATGTTGGCTTAATTTGTTTTTGTTTGATTGGGTTTTACATCACACTGACATAGTCTATGTCATATGGTGACGTACCAGCTGTACTGGTGGAGGAAGACCTCAGGTGCCCTTCCATGCATTATTTCAGGCACAAACGGGCACCTGAGTAGAACAACCGACGTTCCGTAAGCTAGCTAGATAGCTTCCTCCAAAGTCCCTGTTGGGATTCAAACCCACGGTAGTGAGGGGCAAGTGGTTTGAAGTCAAAGACCTTAACCACTCGGCCATGGACGCCCCCAATGTTGGCGTAAGTAAGAAGTCAATGCTCTATGAGTTAAAAATCATGTTACCAATGACTTGTGCAGGAATTCATACATTCTCTCATTTAAATGGAATGTGAATGTTAAAAGTAGAATAATAATTGTCAATTTAAACTAGATTTAATTAAAAGTTAAATTTGTTTCTGCTGTTGAAACTATATGAGACTAACAATAGTATTTACTCCATCAATAGTAAAATAGTTGATTGATATATATGATCATTATAATTATTACATTTCTGTCTCAAAATTTTAACTTTATACCTGTATTTCTATACATTGCTTTTTAAAGGCCTATTTTGTCTTCGAAATGTTTTTATTTTTATTTCTCAGAAGATTTTATTTTTGGTTTCCTGAAAGTTACTCTATTAAAAGTAATTCATTGGTCAATTACCTGAACCATCTTTTGCTTCTGTTACCTTTTGGCAATTACTACAGTTACAGTGATTTAGTATTTAATACTGAAGTCAAAATACTACTTTGTTTACATTTCGTTACTTTTATTACAAATAATTTCACATTCAGCGCTACATTACCAAAGGTTACAAACATGTAAAATGCTCTAAAACCATTATGTAAACATAATAAAAACCATATTTGCCTTTTTTAAAGAAAAAAAAAGTTCAATTCTGAGGCATAATGTGTCTGTAAAAGAATGAAAATATCCAACCATTGTTAAATTAATCAGTAGATCTGATTCATTCTTCATTTTACAATTGCAATATGAATTTGTTTTCATAGTTCTTTTTCCAACAACACTTGTACCAAAGCCTGCACGCTGTATACTGAAACAGAATGTCAAACCAACGGGTAAATTTAATACGGGGCAAGAAGTTACATCAAGGTCTCCATTCTTTAATAAACATCTGAATGCACGGCAACGATCTGCGGTGACTAGAATTGTTCAGGGACAAGGGAGACCACTCCCATACATTCTTTTCGGACCTCCAGGTATGTAGGAGAAAATTTAGTATTTCCTATAATTTCCTGTAACAGTTAAGTATTATCATGTCATGAAGACTATTAGTTGTTATATTTTAACCTTATGCCGTCTGTAAATACTAATTCAGGTTATTTACAACTGTTTAGTTGAACCACTAAAATCCTGTGCATGCACAGTGATGAATTGAATTGTTGACAGGTGAACATTTTTAACTGTTACACCCCTATTATCGGTTATTTCAGTAAATGCAGCCTGCCACTATTCAGTAATCAAACTGCACTCAGCTGAATGTCTGATAGTGATTTTCATAAAATCAAATGTCTGTACGCTTCTTAGTGATATTGAATTGGTATTGTGTAAATTACAGTTCATATTTAAAACAGTGGTAAAAATGTTATAAGTATGTTGTTGCAATATATACATGTATTACAGTTTAATTGCAAAGCATTAGGTAACAAAACAGTTTTTGGTCAAAACTGTTGTCCTTCTGTATCTGGGATAATGTATGTAGTTCCAAATGTACCTTTGGGCAACAGTTTTGACTTTTCCACAAACAACCATGAAATAACTGTACTGCTTTCATAGCAGTTTTCTGGCCCCTAACAGTTTTCTGGCCCTATATAACTTTTGTACAGTACAGTCTATTTTTACCAGTAGGGAATCTATGTTACTTCATCAAATCAGAGAGACATTTGTTTTCTATGCAACACAGCAGTTAAAATAAAATAGCGAATTATATGTTTTGAAGTTTTGTCTGTTGTTTAAAGTTACCTTAGAGAACATATACGACATTTAAAAATAAACACCACCTGGGGAATTCTAGTTTGAATGGCAATGCGCAATAACTGATATCCCATTCCAGTTGATCATGTTTTTAACAATATATTTGCAGACAACATGAAATAGGTGAGGAAGTTCTATTTCTTTGAAAAAATCATCTTAATATTTCTTACTGGTACTGAATTATATTCAAAATAAAAAGGTCCATAAAACTGCTATGAAATTTTGAATAAACATGAGAAAAGGTGTTACATTCAGGCCTATATTCCAATTAAAAAGTAAAGTAAAAGAGCAACATTGAAAACATGGTCATGCTAGACAGGTACCTAACTTTGATCTATTAAAGTTTTGTACTTGTTCGTAGACAGAATTTTATTTTATTTGTTAAACGTGCAATTTGGGAGCCGGAAACTGCTAGGAAACCAGTATACTGATTTAAAGAAGAAACTTTCAACAGTTATAATAATTATTATCTTGAATGGACTTTTCCATCTTTCAATCAGGACATAACAGTTCATCATTTGTAAGGGAAGTTTTTAAGAAATGTACTGACTGAAAAACAAACAGTGCAGACCATGTTCAGATGGCAAGGATGTACTGGTTGTGTGGGTAGATTTTATGACCAGCAAGCTTAGAATTTCAGTATAGGAAAAACAAGCAAATGAAACAGATAAATGGTTTTGAAGTTGTTTGAATAGAAAATTCTCGAGGAAAATAATTTTGAAATATTTCTTCTTTGTACAATATATAAAGAGACAATGTGTTAAAATTCAATAAAGACATGAATCTGGTTTTGTAGGTACAGGAAAGACTGTTACTGTGGTAGAAGCTATTCTACAGATTTTCACCAAACTTTCATACAGTAGAATTATTGCATGTACACCCTCTAACAGTGCAGCAGATCTACTGGTAAATTTTGTATCCTACTATCTATATACTGCTTTTTATTCATTTTGAAAATTATTGCACATAACCTATTTTTGTTTATGCCTTTTAGTCTTTATACATGATGTCTGAAGATATGACTATTAAGGGTGAAATGTTTATTACATTTGCCTTGTAACAAATACAGAAGCTTATGCTATGATATGCAATGTTGTATGTGATAGAATTGGTCCTAAAAATTGGGCTTTACTCATAAGACATGGTAAAGAATTGAAGTGTGCCTTTCATAGATATATCAGGTATCACCTATTATTTTCACCTGTCTGTGTGCAGACAACTTTGACCTTGGTTTAAACATATTTATTTTTTCATCAAGTTACATTAATATTCACATCAAACACAAAATTTATACAAAATCATGATAAAGTGGATTGAACTGGAAGCTCAAAGCTTATTGTAATTCTCTCCACAATTCTGACCTTGGCTGTAAAATCTTCATGTTACATGCTAGGACTAACATACTTACAGGACACAACATACTTCTTGATGAAAACTTCATTTTAACATTCTGAAATATTAAATTACCCTCTTTTTGACCATTACTATCATAAAGTTTAGACATTTTAAATTTATGACAATTATTTGATAACAGATATGGAATAAACACATTTTGATTTAGAAGCATGCAATGTTTTAAAATATTTGTAAACCCAGCATGTTTTTTTTTGCATAATAAATTGTTTGCCTTTGGACTTGTGAGAGTGATGACCTTTTACCTTTATGAATGAAAATTAAATGTGACACAGTCATGTTTCAGGTTGCTGTTTGATATCAGCTTAGTATGTGTTTTTCATTAGGCTGTCATACATTTGTATTTAAAGGAACTCCAAAACAGTCCAAAATTATAAAAAAAACCCATAAAAATGATAAAATTGGAATTTCTTACTTTGATCATTTGAGGAAAAGTAGTTACGGAAAAGATGATTGAGAAACATGAAATTATATTTTTGTGCCATTCTAAGCCAGATTTGAGTGAAAAATCATTGTGATGTTTTTAATTTTTAAGTCTTTTCATACATGTGAACTTTTTTTGATGATCAAGTGGGAGATTTTTCTTCAAAAAGATGGAGATTTTAGAATTTGTAATAAACAAAGTAGGAAGTACTGACATCATAAATAGGGAAATTTCTTTGGTTTGTGAAAATACCCCTTATTTCAAATAAAATCTTTGAAAATATGGCTGCAGAAAGTGTATGCTTTTTTCACAATTAAAATAATAAGTTATTTGCATAGACCTACATCATATGGTACATATATCTCAGAAAAATATTTTTTATCATGTCAAAAAAAGTCCCTTTATCAGTTACAGTACATGTAAATATTTTCATCATAATATAACAGATGTATAATTTCAGACTCAGAGGTTACATGAGAGTGGTTTAGTAAAGACAGGGGATCTTGTACGACTGAATGCTCAACAAAGGTCAGAACAGGTGAATACATTTGAGCCGTGTCATGACAAAACCAACATAGTGGGTTTGCGACCAGCATGGATCCAGACCAGCTGTGCATTCAGGATCCATGCTGTTCGCTCACAAACCCTATAACAAGTAGAGAAACTGATAGCAAACAGCATGGATCCTGATCAGACTGCCCAGATGCGCAGGCTGGTCTGGATCCATGCTGGTCGCAAACCCATTATGTTGGTTTTGTCATGACATGGCTCATTTTAATATGTTAATAAATCAATGTCAGATAAAGTATGTGAATGCAATTGTATAACTAATAATAGAGCACACTGGGTGTTTAAGAGTGTGAACACATTGTCTTAATATTTATAATTACATTATAATTTTAAATACTCTAATGTCATCTAAATTTAATGACAAGTTTTCTTATAGTGTAACAGGAAAGATATGACAATTTGTGTGTTTAATTATACATGAAAAGTTATGACAACGATGCTACTAAAAGAATGTTTTAGTGTTAGAGAACTTTGTTTGTTTATGTATATTGCAATGATTTGCCAAGATTTATTTCAAATTTAATAATCTTTAATTTTGTAAATAAACTTGAAATTAGGCATTGTTGGAAGGTACATGTATGCACTATATGCTTAATTTGAGCTATTGTGATCACTCTTTGTCTGTCTGTCCATCTGTTCAAGTGCACAATAGGATACTTGTTGGTACAAGGAACTAGGTAACAATGAAAGATAAAGGTTCATCTGTGCTGTGGGTATAAAGTGGTATTATTGGCTATATTTAACACAAGAAAAAAAAGAAGAAAAAAACATCCATTCATAAAATAAAGTATAAATGTCCATCCGTCTTTCACATACATGTATTTTTAAAACAACACCTTCTTTGCCTCTGGGTTAGTATTATCGTAACTTCATAGAACTGTTGTGATCTTATTTCAAAGTTGTGTATTCCATAAATAACTCTTGTTGTGATGTCAACAAAAAAAGAAAAACTTAAAAACTCCTTGTTGGTCAAATTTTAATACTGTTTTAGGTGATCTTTTGTCAATATCAATCAAATTATTTGATATAATAAAGAAAACAACCTCCCCTAGTTGGTGTGGTATTTTTACCCTGTTTTTATATAGGGAAAACATCAATTAAATCCTGCTCTCTAAAAAAACTACATTGTAGTCGTTTTTGACACAGAAATGATATTTTAGTGACTATTTACTTACTTTATGCATATTCACCTTTTTGTCAGTCCTTAAAAATAGTTATTATTAAGGTATCTATGAGAATAATGGTTTTTAAATCTTTATTTTTCTATGATGCTATTTAACCATAAAATGTGTATCATATATTTTATAATATATAATAAATTGAGCTGCGCCATGTCAAAACCAACAAAATGGGTTTGCAACCAGCATGGATCCAGACCAGCCTGCACGTCTGCACAGTCTGATCAGGACTCATGCTGTTCCCTATTTTCTTTACTGGTTATAGGGTCTGTAAGCAAACAGCATAAATACTGATCAGACTGCGTGGATGCGCAGGCTGGTCTAGATCCATGCTGGTCGCAAACACACTATGTTGTTTTTGTCATGGCGCGGCTCAATTATGATTATATGTTTGCTTTGGCAGTCAAGGTCTATCATAGCCCTCCATTCTTTAAATCATTTTGTTGAATTGTCAGAAATTCAGCAGTCATTTGCTGCTCATATGAATTTATCAAGAACTTACTACAGTGGTTACACACTTACACCTTTACATTTGTGTTTATTTCGAATTTTACATGAAATTGACACAAGGAGCAGGAAGTATTAGTTTTGTTTGTACTGTTGGAAAAAAGCGTAAAATGAAACAAACAAACAAACAAAGTAATAAATTTGTACAAATATCAATATTACAATATCATTGTGTTTGTCAGGATTTACCAGATAGTATAAGACCATACTGTTCAGTCGGAGACGATCTAGACCTGGCATCTAGGTACAGAATTCTGGTGAGCACGTGTGTAACTGCTGGCACCCTGTACACTCTAGGGATAAAATCTGGACACTTTACACATGTATTTATTGATGAGGTACGTTCAACAAAATAGAAGTAGTTACTTGTTATATTTTGATACACTTGCATTTTGAATTATTTTTATCTTTGTATCATGTGTAATACATTTGAAATTTAAAAACTGTGGATTTAAGGGGAGTTCTAGCCTCTTGACAAAGGGATCTTGGGTTCAAGCTCTAATTTTGTCACAACCTTGTTTCCATTTATGACACCCGACTGGTAAGTTCCAGAAAGCAGACTTGGAATGTGTGATATACATTTATGTTAAGTTTCCTCCAGAAACCCATGTTGGGAAGTCACACTAGTGATAGTGGAGGAAATAAGTTCAGAATGTACCAGAAGTAACTCCTGGTTATTTGTAATGCAAACATGTTATGCTGCAGAACAAATGACCTTGATGGAAGGTCCTAATCATAATTCAAGTTTGAGATGTTACAAGTTGGGGAACTTGCAAAGCCAGGATTTGCACCTGACCAACCAGTTTTAGAGACTACAATTGTAATTGAGCAAATCTTCTCCATCATTTTATAATAAGATAGTATGTCTTACAATCTGTGTAACTTTTTATAAAAAGAAAGGAGATTTAAGTTGGTTACATTTCATTCACAGTTATGAGTCTGCAATGAAAAGTTTAGACGTTAATAAATGTTATAATTTTAGGCTGGGCAAGCCACAGAACCAGAGGCTCTGATTTCTTCATGTCTTGTTTCACATACAGATGGACAGGTGAGTAAAAATGTCATTTTGGTTTTGCCTTTCCTGTCTGTTAGTCCTATCAGAGATTCTGTTTTAGCTTCGGTTTAACGTCACACCTTCACAGGAAATAGGTTGATTTTCCAGCTTTACTGATGAAGGAAGATTTTAGTTGCCCTTCTGTGCATTATTTCAGGCACAAGCAGGCAACTGAGTAGAACTACCGACTTTCCAGCTACCTGGAGAGCTTCCTCACATGAAAGACTCCAAAGTTTTGGTTGATTACAAAACCACAGGGTTTAGGGGGAAAGTGGTTTGAAGTCAGTGATGTTAACCACTTGGTCAAGGACGGTCATTGACATTAATCACTCGGCCAAGAACAACCCACAATCAGAGATTAAATGTCTTGAATTTAAATGCTTTTGATACAACAAATAGGAAAAAAATACCAAAGTTATTTCTTGTGACTTTATATATTGTCAAATGTGAAAAATTGAGTCAAGAGATAACAAAATCAATGGCTTAAAGGAAGTCAAATTAGGTCAAAAGTCTAAAAACAAAATTTGAAAATTTTACATCAAAACAGAAAAATATGAAAAAGATAACAAAGACATATACGAAGAATTAAATTAGAAATCAATGTTTAGTGTGCTTCATAGATCAATTTGAGTATAAAGCATTAATTTTTAACACTTGTCATCTTTATGTTATTTTTCACCATAAAAATTCTTATTCTGAAAAAAACTGTGTGACTAAATGATGTGAAATATTGCACATATGAGCAGCATCATGACAAAACCAACATAATGGGTTTGCGACCAGCATGGATACAGACCAGCCTGCGCATCCGCGCAGTCTGATCAGGATCCATGCTGTTCGCTATCAGTTTCTCTACTTGTTATAGGGTTTGTAAGCGAACAGCATGGATCCTGATCAGGCTTCGCGGATGTGCAGGCTGGTCTGGATCCATGCTGGTCGCAAACCCATTATTTTGGTTTTGTCGTGACAAGGCTCATATGTTATTGGTATAGACCCGCAATAAAAAGATAAAAATAATTTTATAGTGCAAATGCTATGGTAACTGCCCGATAACACTTGCCTGATAATTATTTTTGATATCAGGTCAGTAACCTGATATCAAAAATAAGCCCCGCCCATTTTAACAGACTTTTTTTAATTGCTTATACAGATATTCTCATTTGAAATAATCAGCATGTGAATTCTACAATGTTATCTCAAACCATTACATCAATATGCAATTTTAATTATTATTATTTAGATTTCAATTTCAATTACGAATAAATTAGAGCACCAACTAAATGAAGTGACGTCATAATCTATATTGCAAATGACATCATCGATGTCCACGTCATACTATACATGTATACATAACAAACTTGCTAGACAATTTTCTTTGAGAACTTGTAAACTTTATTTCGCCTGATTATTATTTAATAAGTGAATAAATTGTTCCGTTAAAAAAATAAGAGGCATGTTTGTGTAGCCGCTTTGACTTTTGTTTGATTAAAATTATCATGAACTTTTGAACTTGACAATTCAAGGCAGAAAGTGCAGTAAAGTTTATTTTATTCTTAGGGATTTTTTGGATCGATGTTTAAAGGTAAGAATCTTATCGTGTTAATTATGTTGTATCTTTTAACACAGGAAATAATCTCGAGTCAAAAGGAAAAATGGCCGCCATTTACAAATTTTAAGTTTCAGGGGCGAAGAAATTTGTTTTCAAGAATTATTTCTTTGAACAAAAATACCCCTTTCTACAAAATTTGCTATTTAAAAGTAGATTATTTTGTAATTTTGACAGTTTTTATGTGTAACATGATAAATAGAAAAACATGCTACTGTCTTTTGATATTAATTTTATCAGGCTCGGCTGATATGGGCAGAAAGGGCTCGGCAAGCCTCGCCCTTTCTAGCCCATATCAGCCTCACCTGATAAAATTGATATCAAAAGACAGTAGCATGTTATTCTCTATTTATAGTCCAGACATTCAAAGAAACTTCCGTCTGTCTGTCCGTCTGTCAGTCCGTCCGTCCGTCCGTCCGTCCACAAACTGGATCCCGCGATAACGCAAAAAGTACTAAAAATATTTTTATGAAACTTGATATATGGATAGATGGCAGTATGGAAATTATGCACGTCTTTTTCTTTTGTTCCTATGTTGTAAATTCTGGTTGCTATGGCAACAAATAGTCTGAAAATATGGCAAATTTAACACATAAACTGGATCCAGTGATAACTCAAAAAGTACTGAAAATATTTTTATGAAACTTGAAATATGGGTAAAAGGGAGTCTGGAGATTATGCACATTCTTTTCTTTTCTTCCTATGTTGAAAATTCTGGTTGCTATGGCAACAAATAGTCTGAAAATATGGCAAATTTAACACATAAACTGGATCCAGTGATAACTCAAAAAGTACTGAAAATATTTTTATATAACTTGAAATATGGATAGATCGCAGTCTGGAGATTATGCACATCTTTTTCTTTTCTTCCTATGTTGAAAATTATGGTTGCTATGGCAACAAATAGTCTGAAAATATGGCAAATTTAACATATAAACTGGATCCAGTGATAACTCAAAAAGTACTGAAAATATTTTTATGAAACTTGAAATATAGGTAGATAGCAGTCTGGAGATTATGCACATCTTTTTTTTTTCTTCCTATGTTGAAAATTCTGGTTGCTATGGCAACAAATAGCCTGAATTTCAAGATTTCTGATTTAAATTTTTCAGCTTTTTCACTATTAGTTCTTTATTTCTTAAGGTGTTTACTTCAAACTTTAAATATAAGTTTCTGGTCATCAACCACATCATATGTGACAAGGTTTACAACTCTAGCACAAAAATTATCAGTATTACCTCCCTTGAACTTAAAATTTTTATGAAAAAAATGTTGTTTTTTTTAAATAATTTCCTAATGTATCTACTTCAAACTTCATATATATGTTTCTTATTATCACTCAACATTTTTGAGAAGGTTAAATACTCTAGCAAGACTATTTCCACAATTATGACCCCTTTGAACTTAGATTTTTTTCGAGAAATTGGTATTTTTTACTCCAACTTCTTCATTTCTTATAGGATTTACGGTACTTTAAAATCCCACATCGTAATAATATGACAAGGTTGTATAAACATAATTTCCTTACAAGGCAGGGAAACTTAACACATTACTGTGATATAGACAAACTTAGAACTCAAAAGATTTAAGTTCATTCATGTCATTCATTCACTGGTAAAATTGAATGGCCAAATTGGCCCATCAGAATGTTGCTGGGGTTCTAACCGGTAGGGGACTTATGGATTGCTTGCAATACTATGATAATTGCTTGTTTTTTTATCATATATTTTGATTTGTTATAAAAATAAAACAAAAGAAAAGAATACTCATTTAATAAAGTGAAAAAGTTGTATGAACATTTAGCAATTACAATTGTATGAATTGTAAGCATTTACTTTGGTAAAGAATAATTATTTTTATTTCTTTTCATGAATTACTATGCTAAATTTTTTAATAATTAAGATAATTTAAAAAAAAATGTATTTGAAAATTTAACATTCCAGATTACACTAGCTGGAGATCCCCAGCAGTTAGGACCAGTACTGATGTCAAAGTTCAGTAAGATGTATGGACTAGAATGTTTTTGAAAATTTAACATTCCAGATTACACTAGCTGGAGATCCCCAGCAGTTAGGACCAGTACTGATGTCAAAGTTCAGTAAGATGTATGGACTAGAGTTATCTCTCTTGGAGAGACTTATACATACACCGTTATATGAGAGAGATGAACAGAAGTTTGCTGACCACGGTGCTTATGACCCCCTACTGGTATGTTCTGCTTTTGTTACATCTTAGAGTTTCTTGTAGTGATCCAACCGCCTCCGTGGTCGAGGGGTTAGAGTCAATGACTTCTAATCCAGTTACCTCTCTGGTGTGGGTTCGATCCCCGGGAGATGCTTTGGTAGTTTAGCACAGAGGAAGGTTGTCTAGTACTGGTGTAACTCTCCAGGAACGATAGCTAGGGAAGTACCCGTCTATATGACTGAAATACTGTTGGGAAAGGTGTAAAATGAAACATACAAACAAACAACTGTTGTAGTGCTCCTTATTTGCCTTAGGCTCTGTATAAACGGTGACATTAAGTTTTAGATGAGTGCTGGCTTTCTGTATATTTCTGAGAAGTGCTGTATGACAGAACAACTCTTGTGTTCTAGTTCACCATTAGCCTAGTGGTGTCTACCTCTCATCCAAGGGATCAGTGGGTTTGAGCCTTATACTTAGGTCATGATTATGCTTCCTTATATTGTACCAGACTTGGTTAGTTAAATGAAGTTAACTTGAAAGTGATTAATAATATTTCAAGAACTGGTTACATAATTAATTTTATGTAGATATATTAAAAAAATAAATATGGGGAGAAATTAACATTTCAGAAACAGTCTACTAGTATGTATGTAAATTATTCATGATACACCCGCTGATTTTGCGACTGTAAAAATGGTATAGCATGGCCATGCATATACATGTACATGTATCTCCACATGATGTCATTGGCGTTCTACAAACATTGTAAACATGTGTTAAATGTTAACATTACACCATAGACATGACAATAAAAATTGATTCTTGTGTACATTAAACAGTTTTTATTATGCCCCCACATTAGTGGCAGCATTTAGATGTACCCTTGTCCGTCCGTCTGTCCGTTCTCTTTTGTGTAGCACGTAACTCAAAAAAAATTTGACCTAGAGTCATGAAACTTTACAGGAATGTTGATCAGCATGTGAAGTTGTGCACCTGGGTATTTTCATCAGGATTTATTTAGTATTTTTAGAGTTATTGCCCTTGACTTATTAAAAATTTGCAATTTTCAATTTGTGTCGCACGTATTTTTTCTCAAAAAGTATTTGACCTAGAGTCATGAAACTTTACAGAAATGTTGATCAGCATGTGTAGTTGTGCACCTGGATTTATTTAGTATTTTTAGAGTCATTGCCCTTGACTTAGAAAATGTTTGCAATTTTCAACTTGTGTCGCATGTAACTCAAAAAGGATTTGACATAGAGTCATTAAACCTTATGGGAAAGTTGCTCAGCATATTTAGTTTGTTCCTAGGGTTTCGCTTGTGGATTTATCCAGTATTTATGGAGTTATTTCCCTTGACTTAGTAAAAAACTGTTTCATTATGTTGTTATTTGTTCCTTGAGTGCTTGAGTTAGAATCAACTTTACAGGAATAATGATCAACATCACTTAATTACAGGACTAATGATTCACATCACTGTGAAGCTATGAACCTGGGACTTTGCATGTGGATTTTTTTCAGTTTTGTTAGAGTTATTGCCCTTGACTTACAGTAGTATAAATTTGCAATTTTCACCTTGGGGTTTGCTTTGGGATTTATTCAGTATTTGTAAAGTTCTTGCCCTTTACTTAGTAAAAAGATTTTTAGTTTTCAAAAAATATTTGACCTAGAGTCATAAGATTGACAGAACAGTGGCGCGGTGGGGGCACCCGTGTCCTATGGACACATTTCTAGTTTTGGATTTGTGATAAATAGAATATTATATTCGTGAAGGCTCACATACTATAATTTTATTCAACTTGTCCAATAACTTCATTATTAAACCTACACTTATTCAATATCCTCTATTAAATAAACATTTCAGACTAAATTCCTAGAAACAGTGTATATTTTCCATTTGATTTTATGTTCTTCCTATGTAATCAATGATAATTTCAGGTAATGAAGTTGGTAGATAATTACCAGTCTCAAACAAGTATTAATGATAATTTCAGGTAACAAAGTTGGTCGATAATTACCAGTCTCACACAAGTATTAATGATAATTTCAGGTAATGAAGTTGGTAGATAATTACCAGTCTCACACAAGTATTAATGATAATTTCAGGTAACAAAGTTGCTAGATAATTACCAGTCTCACACAAGTATTAATGATAATTTCAGGTAACAAAGTTGCTAGATAATTATCGGTCTCACACAAGTATTAATGATAATATCAGGTTACAAAGTTGCTAGATAATTATCGGTCTCACACAAGTATTAACCCATTACTTCATGAGCATTTTGTGAAAAATGGCTATTTTCATTGAAAAGTCTCCCGTTACAAGTTCAAATTGCTATAATACTATAAAAACTGCTTCAACACTAATCAAACTTGGCACAAATGTTGACTGGACCATTGCCCTTGCAACAACATGCTCAGGCTTAAATTTTCTGTTAGCATGGCAACGAGGGGACATCTCAAAATTGCCAAAAATCACTATTTTGCATTGATTTTTTCCATCAAAATTGATTTCAAAGTGCTGCAACTTCTCAATGGATTGAGATAGAGTCAAATGCTTTTCAGCGTTGGTTACACGTTACCTTATGATCAATCTGGGGTCATTTATAGCCTCTCACAAGTCCAAAATTTTCTTGGCGTTGAGGGGGACTCCGCCCCCCTTCAAACCCCCCAAACAGAAGGGGGCACATCCCCCTTCTGGCAACCCCCTGGTGTATCATTTGGTTGAGGGGCCGCGCCGAAAAAGAGGTCACTTTTTTTAACAACATTTCTCAAACAAAAACAAGTGTTGGGGGCCTAAATAAGGCATTTTTTCACCATTTGAGACAACAAAAAGGGGGGGCGGGTGAAAAAGGCGTTAAAAGGCGTCTATATAACGTAATGGGTTAATGATAATTTCAGGTAACAAAGTTGCTAGATAATTACCGGTCTCACACAAGTATTAATGATAATTTCAGGTAACAAAGTTGGTAGATAATTACCAGTCTCACACAAGTATTAATGATAATTTCAGGTAACAAAGTTGCTAGATAATTACCGGTCTCACACAAGTATTAATGATAATTTCAGGTAACAAAGTTGCTAGATAATTACCAGTCTCACACAAGTATTAATGATAATTTCAGGTAACAAAGTTGCTAGATAATTACCGGTCTCACACAAGTATTAATGATAATTTCAGGAAACAAAGTTGGTAGATAATTATAGGTCTCACACAAGTATTAATGATAATTTCAGGTAACACAGTTGCTAGATAATTACCGGTCTCACACAAGTATTAATGATAATTTCAGGTAACAAAGTTGCTAGATAATTACCGGTCTCACACAAGTATTAATGATAATTTCAGGTAACAAAGTTGGTAGATAATTACCGGTCTCACACAAGTATTAATGATAATTTCAGGTAACAAAGTTGCTAGATAATTACCAGTCTCACACAAGTATTAATGATAATTTCAGGTAACAAAGTTGCTAGATAATTACCGGTCTCACACAAGTATTTATGATAATTTCAGGAAACAAAGTTGGTAGATAATTATAGGTCTCACACAAGTATTACTGATTATTTCAGGTAACACAGTTGCTAGATAATTACTGGTCTCACACAAGTATTTATGATAATTTCAGGAAACAAAGTTGGTAGATAATTATCGGTCTCACACAAGTATTAATGATAATTTCAGGAAACAAAGTTGGTAGATAATTATAGGTCTCACACAAGTATTACTGATTATTTCAGGTAACACAGTTGCTAGATAATTACCGGTCTCACACAAGTATTTATGATAATTTCAGGAAACAAAGTTGCTAGATAATTATCGGTCTCACACAAGTACTAGTATTACTGATAATTTCAGGTAATGAAGTTGCTAGATAATTACCGGTCTCACACAAGTATTAATGATAATTTCAGGTAACAAAGTTGGTAGATAATTACCGCTCTCACATGAGTATATTGACGCTACCATCTAGATTATTTTATCATAATGAACTATTACCACAAGCTGATAGAGGCCTCACACACACATTCTGTCAGTGGTCTGAGCTGCCTACACAAGGTGTTCCCATCATATTCCATGGTGTTAGGGTAAGTGTACTGCTCAGTGTATTATTACTTTTAGTTCATTTGATTGGAAGAAAATTCGAGCTATTCTGATTGCTATGTCATCATTTTATTAGTTATGTTGTGGAAAAACTAAAATGTAGCTCATTGTTCAAACATATTAAAAGGTATCAACAGGAAACTTGGAATACCGGCTTATCATGACAAGCTGCAGTTGTAAGACAAGGGGCATTATCCTGAAAAGCAATACTTTTTAGGAGTTATGCCCCTTTTAAACTAATATTTGCAAAAATTGGTTATTGATGAGCATTGAATGTAACAGATAAGCTGTGTTCGTTTATAACTTTAAACTTATACTTTGTAAATGATTTACATGTATTCAATGTTATGTAAAGGTTGTAAAATGTAATTTAAAAGGACTCAATGTAATTGAAATGTATTCAATGTTACATGTATATATATGAGCCATGCCATGACAAAACCAACATAGTACATTTGCGACCAGCATGGATCCAGACCAGCCTGCTCAGGATCCATGCTGTTTGCTTACAAACTGTATAACATGTAGAGAAACTGATAGCGAACAGCATGGATCCTGATCAAACTGCGCAGATGCGCATGCTGGTCTGGATCCATACTGGTCGCAAACGCACTATGTTGGTTTTGTCCTGATGCGGCTCATATCATTTTTGATTGTAGGGAGCAGATCTACGAGAAGGTAACAGCCCATCTTGGTTTAATGCCATGGAAACAGTTCAGGTTGTGAGATATTTACAGAATATATTAAAAGATGACAGTCTACATGTTACCTGTGATGATATAGGAATTATTACACCTTATAGAAAACAGGTAAATCTCACTACAGTGTCTTTTTTGCAAATTTTTCAAGGTTTAAGACCGATTGGGTATCCTGGTTAAGTTTCCCTGTTGTTGTTAACAGTGATTTTTACTGCCTCTTTCAAGGGATCAACAATTTAGAAATTCTGGGTTAAGTGCTATTTTATGTAGAAAGATGTTAAAATTAAGTTTGTAAGTTTTCAAACTTATTTTGTTTAGTTTATACAAATTTATTTTAGTTCTATTGTGTTGAAAGCTATAAGCTTATTGAAACACTCTAGAATCGGTTTCTGAAACCAACCAATACTCAGCAATACTAAGCAATGAATGTAAAGTTTCTTGCTCAAGGAAACAACTGCTTGTCCCTGACGGGGTTTGACTCCATGCAGTAAGTTGCGGTCAGCAATCCTTAAATTACTAGTCTGACGGGATAACCACTCAGCCATGACACTTATTTGCACTTTGATTTTTCACTTCTTTATATTTAAAGCTGTCCAAAAGTCGAACATTTGAATTTTTCTACACACCAACAGGAGAACTGAAAACTGTCAAATATGCAAAAGATAAGAAAGAAATATACTCATAATATATTTGAAAATTGATTTATTTTTTTCGTGTGATTATTAGCCCAAATTGTGTAAAATAAATTTGAATACTTGCTCTTTTGGGGTCATTCTTTACAATTAGAATAATAATTATTCTGGAAAAAGGAAGCAAGAGAATGATAAAAAGATCTTTGGTCCAGACGTGCATCGAAAGGTACATCAATCTCGTAAAGATATTTCCAGTCATGTCATGTCAAGAAAACCTCCGTGGAGTTCCTATAAACATTTAAGAAAATTCATTATTGAAATAGACTTGAGTAAAGAGTAAAGTCTGACTGTAAGAATGTGTATATATTATTGGACAGGCATAGGCCTGATTTTTGGCTGCTGGCATTCAAATTTTAAGTAGTTCATTAACAGTTTTATAAGATTTCTAACGTTACAATATTTGACAGCGGATACATGAAAGAAAACATTCTTTTTTAACTTGACATTTTCTAGCGTATTTCTTGTGGGAAATTTGTATGATATGTCAAATGTGCTACAAATTTTAGAAATGAATTTATTATGGTGATAGTTAATGTTTTATCGCCTTTATTCTGGGGCTGTATGTAAAAATTGATATTTTATTGCCTTTATTTTGAGGCTACATTTAAACAGCTGATTTTTTAATCGCAGGTTGAAAAGATTCGTTTGTTGGTAGATAAACTAGGAGTCGATGAGGTCAAGGTCGGGTCAGTGGAAGAATTTCAAGGTCAGGAGCGGCAGGTCATCATTATCTCTACTGTAAGTTCTCTGATATGTGAATAATGTGCTTTCCTTCCATTTCTTAATGTTTTGTATTAACTTTATTTTGTCAGTACATGTACTTATAGCATATAAAATTGTTATTACTGAAAACAAAATTTTAATAGCAGAAAAACAAATAGCAGAAAAGTATTTAATGATAAATGTTATTATAACTTGAATTTGTATATTACATTGTATTGTTAAATCAAAATTTGATACCGCTGTATATTAAAAGAAAGTGTAAAATATAAAAAGTTCTTTCCTGTGGATTTGATTATTTTACTGTTATTGGATATATTTCATTAAAAATTTGAGATCATATTTTTTAGCTCGACTATTCGCAGAATAATCGAGCTAATGCAGTCACCCATTTGTCGGCGTCGGCGTCCCTGTGGTTAAGTTTTTGTATGTAAGCTGGTATCTCCATAACTACTGAAGGGAATGGATTGAAACTTCACACACTTGTTCTCTGTGATTATCTAAGATAATTGGCACAAGTCCTATAACTGATTTGCTTTTTTTCATAATTATGCCCCTTTTTCGACTTAGAAATTCTTGGTTAAGTTTTTGTATGTAAGCTGGTATCTCGATAACTACTGAAGGGAATGGATTGAAACTTCACACACTTGTTCTCTGTGATTATCTAAGATGATTGGCACAAGTCCCATAACTCTTATTTGCTTTTTTACATAATTATGCCCCTTTTTCGACTTAGAAATTCTTGGTTAAGTTTTTGCGTGTAAGCTGGTATCTCCATAACTACTGAAGGGAATGGATTGAAACTTCAAACACTTGTTCTCTGTGATTATCTAAGATGATTGGCACAAGTCCCATAACTCTGATTTGCTTTTTTACATAATTATGCCCCTTTTTTGACTTAGAAAGTCTTGGTTAAGTTTTTGCGTGTAAGCTGGTATCTCCATAACTACTGAAGGGAATGGATTGAAACTTCACACACTTGTTCTCTGTGATTATCTAAGATGATTGGCACAAGTCCCATAACTCTGATTTGCTTTTTTTGCACAATTATGCCCCTTTTTTGACTTAGAAATTCTTGGTTAAGTTTTTGCGTGTAAGCTGGTATCTCCATAACTACTGAAGGGAATGGATTGAAACTTCACACTCTTGTTGTCTGTGATTATCTAAGATGATTGGCACAAGTCCCATAACTCTGATTTACTTTTTTGCATAATTATGCCCCTTTTTCGATTCATAAATTCTTGGTTAAGTATTAGTGTGTAAGCTTGTATCTCCATAGCTACTGAAGGGAATGTATTGAAACTTGAAAGGTTTGTACCTTTTTGGACAATTTTATGTACTCATATAGGTAACCATTATTATACTCAATGAAACACCCTTGTGACAAATTTTCGAATAGTCGAGCGTTACTGTCCTCCGACAGTTCTTGTTTTTTATAAAATTATTTGGCTCATTTGTAATATGTCTGATTCCACTACAAGTGTGTTTTTATTGTGTTTATATATTTTTACTGTTTATATTACAATAATATGTAGTAAATACCATTTACAGGTTAGGTCTAATGAAGATTTGATAGGATTTGACAAGAAGCATACTATAGGGTTTTTAAGTAACCCAAAACGTTTCAATGTGGCAATAACAAGAGCTCAAGCTCTACTAATAGTTATAGGAAATCCCTATGTTTTAATGCAGGTTTGTGACTTTTGTTGATATCATACTGTAACCTAGCTGCTTTTTCTGGTTTATAGAGACTAACATAATCATTTCAGAGGCCCACATGGAGGATCGGGAAACCAAATGTGTCAGCCTCGTTAAATAAAGGAGTTACTTACTAACTTACATCATAGGTTGTTGTTAAAAGACATTTTACATTAATCTCAATTCTAACATGCTTCACACTATTCCCCTGTCAAGAAGGTAGGGCAATCAAGTGCATTACTATGCGAAATATGCACAGCATAAAGAATGGCTGCTTACACATCATATGATGTTAGATATGACGTCAATTAAGGACTAGTCTTACTGTAATGCTTTCCTGCCAAAAAAATATAACATTGGTCCATACTGTAGCAAATCTGTTATCCTAGAGTTATTTTTTCAAAATCTTGGGCATCAGATTATTTACAATTACCCTTCCTTTATTGCTATGTACTTTATTCCGGTTGTAATTGGTTAAAAATATCATTGAATAACAAGATTGTGAAAAAATGCGATTGGAAAGGGCCAATTGATTATGACATTGGCCAATTTTAGAACTTATTTGGCAGGAAAGCATTACAGTAAGACTACCTTAACCAAATGATGTTTAAGAAATAACATCGTCCTGAGAGGTGTATATCGGCTGTTTAACACCGATTTGGAGTTTTGATGCGTAGGAATTGACCACGAAGGCCGTAGGTCCGAGTGGTTAATTTTGTCGCATCAAAACGACAAACCGGTGTTAAATAGCCGATATACACCTTTCAGGACGATGTTATTTCGATTCTAACACGATAAAATAAGGAAAATCACTAAAGTTATTTTTCAAGCGGAAATAACTTCCGGTGCCGATTTTCGTATAACGCTGTTCGATTTTCGCACCCTACTGTTGCGAAGATATAGAAATTATTAAACAAAAGAAATAATAAGAAAAAAACGATATTTTATCAAGTTTTCAACGTCGTATTGTGTTTACATCAGTGCTCCATTTATCATTCTTGTATGTATGAAATAACATCAGCTTGTTTATGAATGAGTTGTTTACTTAGGATGACGTCATTACGCTGCTTACGGATTGGCGCCGTTTTGTCAAAATATTTATTAACTGATATGGATCTAATATATGGCGTTAGTGTATGCGAGATATTATTATACCCCCAAAAACGAAGTTTGGGGGGGTATATAGGAGTCACCCGGTGGTCGGTTGGTCGGTCGGGCGGTCGGTCGGTCCAGACGTCCGTTGCATTTTCCTTGTCCGGACCATAACTTGAAGACTAATGGTTGGAATTCAATATAACTACATACAATGGTCAAGCACATTGAGAGGAAGTGCAGTGCACAAGAACCATAACTCTATCTTGACTAATTACAGAGTTATTGCCTTTTGTTACTTTTCCTTGTCCGGGGCATAACTTGAAAACTACTGGTTGGAATTCAAAACAACTTCATACAATTGTCAAACACAATAAGGGGAAGTGCAGTGCACAAGAACCATAACTCTATCTAAAGTAATTACAGAGTTATTGCCCTTTGTTACTTTTCCATTGCTTTCTTTTGTCCGGACCATAACTTGAAGACTAATGGTTGGAATTCAATATAACTACATACAATGGTCAAGCACATTGAGAGGAAGTGCAGTGCACAAGAACCATAACTCTATCTTGACTAATTACAGAGTTATTGCCCTTTGTTACTTTTCCTTGTCCGGGGCATAACTTGAAGACTACTGGTTGGAATTCAAAACAACTTCATACAATTGTCAAACACAATAAGGGGAAGTGCAGTGCACAAGAACCATAACTCTATCTAAAGTAATTACAGAGTTATTGCCCTTTGTTACTTTTCCATTGCTTTCTTTTGTCCGGACCATAACTTGAAGACTAATGGTTGGAATTCAATATAACTACATACAATGGTCAAGCACATTGAGAGGAAGTGCAGTGCACAAGAACCATAACTCTATCTTGACTAATTACAGAGTTACTGCCCTTTGTTACTTTTCCTTGTCCGGGGCATAACTTGAACACTACTGGTTGGAATTCAAAACAACTTCATACAATTGTCAAACACAATAAGGGGAAGTGCAGTGCACAAGAACCATAACTCTATCTAAAGTAATTAAAGAGTTATTGCCCTTTGTTACTTTTCCATTGCTTTCTTTTGTACGGACCATAACTTGAAGACTAATGGTTGGAATTCAATATAACTACATACAATGGTCAAGCACATTGAGAGGAAGTGCAGTGCACAAGAACCATAACTCTATCTTGACTAATTACAGAGTTATTGCCCTTTGTTACTTTTCCTTGTCCGGGGCATAACTTGAAGACTACTGGTTGGAATTCAAAACAACTTCATACAATTGTCAAACACAGTAAGGGGAAGTGCAGTGCATAAGAACCATAACTCTATCTAAAGTAATTACAGAGTTATTGCCCTTTGTTACTTTTCCATTGCTTTCTTTTGTCCGGAGTATAACTTAAAGACTAATTGTTGGAATTCATTATAACTTCATACAATGGTCAAGCACATTGAGAGGAAGTGCAGTGCACAAGAACCATAACTCCATCTTGACTAATTACAGAGTTACTGCCCTTTGTTACTTTTCCATTGCTTTCTTTTGTCCGGAGCATAACTTGAAGACTAATGGTTGGAATTCCATATAACTTCATACAATGGTCAAGCACATTGAGAGGAAGTGCAGTGCACAAGAACCATAACTCCATCTTGACAAATTACAGAGTTATTGCCCTTTGTTATTTTTCCTTGTCCAGAGCATAACTTGAAAACTACTGTTTGGAATTCAATACAACTTCATACAGTTGTCAAGGACATTAAAAGGAAGTGCAGTGCATAAGAGCCATAACTCCATTTTGACAAAATACAGAGTTACTGCCCTTTGATACTTTTCCTTGTCTGAAGCATAACTTAAAACGTACTGGTTGAAATTCAAAACAACTTCATACAATGGTCAAGCACAAAAAGAGGAAGTGCAGTGCACAAGAACTATAACTCCATCTTCAGTATTTATAGAGTTATTGCCCTTTGTTCCTTTTCTTTGTCTTTCTGGACTTATTACAGAGTAATTCAATAAAACTTCATCAATGGCCAACCACATTGAAAGGAAATGCAATATACAAGAACCACAACTGTCTTTAATTGCCCACAACCATAACTTTATATTTCAATTCTTTTACAAGATATTCTGTTACTAGTAACATCCTCATTTCCGAAGCAGTCTTGTGGGGGTATTAATCACATTTAGTGATAGTTCTAGTTTCGGTATTGTATGGAAAGAAAACATTATACGAACTGAAAATATAAATAAAAATGCTTTTTATTGTTGCTTTAAAATGCTTTATAAACTATACAATCGAGGGTGAAAACATAATAGCGCATGCATACAAGTAGTCCCTTACCGGTGTTTATTGACAGTTTAACACCAGTTTTTTTCCTTCTTTGTCTATAGTGACAAAATCACGTGAGTGTTAGAATAGGAAATATACTTCAACCCTCAATGTAGTTCAATATATAATTTGATGTGAAGCCATTTTTGTTATACAGTGTAAAGACATGCTAAATGTTTTCATTTCACTACCAACTTGTCAATGTAAAAAAAAATCAGTTTTTATGTTTAGTATGACTGTGATAAATAGAATATAATATTTGTGCAGTTCATTACTAAATTTATTGAACTCTCAAAATAATTTTGATTTCATTCAACTGGTTCAATTAATTTAGTATTGAACCTACAATCATTTAGTATCTTCTATATATTACCACTGTGAATATCATATTAAAAGATGAAAATATATGAAATACACATCCCTTAATTTTTAGCTCGACTATTCGCAGAATAATCGAGCTAATCCAGTCACCCATTTGTCGGCGTCGGCGTCGGCGTCCCTGTGGTTAAGTTTTTGTATGTAAGCTGGTATCTCCATAACTACTAAAGGGAATGGATTGAAACTTCACACACTTATTCTCTGTGATTATCTAAGATGATTGGCACAAGTCCCATAACTCTGAATTGTTTTATTTCATAATTATGCCCCTTTTTCGACTTAGAAAATCTTGGTTAAGTTTTTGTATGTAAGCTGGTATCTCCATAACTACTGAAGGGAATGGATTGAAACTTCACACACTTGTTCTCTGTGATTATCTAAGATGATTGGCACAAGTCCCATAACTCTGATTTGCTTTTTTTCATAATTATGCCCCTTTTTCGACTTAGAAATTCTTGGTTAAGTTTTTGCATGTAAGCTGGTATCTCCATAACTACTGAAGGGAATGGATTGAAACTTCACACACTTGTTCTCTGTGATTATCTAAGATGATTGGCACAAGTTCCATAACTCTGGTTTGCTTTTTTTCATAATTATGCCCCTTTTTCGACTTAGAAATTCTTAGTTAAGTTTGTGTATGTAAGCTGTTATCTCCATAACTACTGAAGGGAATTGATTGAAACTTCACACACTTGTTCTCTGTGTTTATCTAAGACAATTGGCACAAGTACCATAACTCTGATTTGCTTTTTTACATAATTATGCCCCTTTTTCGACTTAGAAATTCTTGGTTAAGTTTTTGCGTGTAAGCTGGTATCTCCATAACTACTGAAGGGAATGGATTGAAACTTCACACACTTGTTCTCTGTGATTATCTAAGATAATAAGCACAAGTCCCATAACTCTGATTTGCTTTTTTACATAATTATGCCCCTTTTTTGACTTAGAAATTCTTGGTTAAGTTTTTGCATGTAAGCTGGTATCTCCATAACTACTGAAGGTAATGGATTGAAACTTCACACACTTGTTCTCTCTGATTATCTTAGATGATTGGCACAAGTCCCATAACTCGGATTTGCTTTTTAACATAATTATGCCCCTTTTTCGACTTAGAAATTTTTGGTTAAGTTTTTGCGTGTAAGCTGGTATCTCCATAATTACTGAAGGGAATGGATTGAAACTTCACACACTTGTTCTTTGTGATTATCAAAGGTGATTGGTACAAGTCCCATAACTCTGAATTGTTTTATTTCATAATTATGCCCCTTTTTCGACTTAGAAAATCTTGGTTAAGTTTTTGTATGTAAGCTTGTATCTCCATAACTACTGAAGGGAATGTATTGAAACTTGAAGAGTTTGTACCTTTTCGGACAATTTTATGTATTCATATAGGTAAGCATTATTATACTCAATGAAACACCCTTGTGACAAATTTTCGAATAGTCGAGCTTTACTGTCCTCCGACAGTTCTTGTTACATAAATTCTTCACAAGATAAAGATAAACAAATATTAATGTTTTATTATAATTTTTCAGGACCAGTACTGGAAGAGTTTAATTAATTACTGTGTAGAGATTGGTGCATATGTTGGCTGTGATATACCACCTACCTCATGTGATCTCTGATTAAATAATACAAAATTGTATACTTAATGATTCAGTCTTTCACAAAGTGATAAACATTTATCACAAGTACATGTACATGTAGTTATGGACAATAAGCGGTTTGTTCAGTTGAAAATTCAACATATGATGACATATGATATATAACCTTAAACATGCTATACATGGATTGTCGACTTGTCCAGCATTGAATTTAGTACTGTCCATTGTAAGTATGTGGGTTTTTAAATACCAAACAATCAGCAGTAGACAGTATCGGGTCTGGTCAAACTACAGAGATGAGATCTATAATGGTTGACAAAGGACAGTCATTATTATTATTGATGACATTCTTGGAGTTACAACATGTGAAGCCTTCTTTGAAAACTGCCGAAATAAATATTTACTAGATTGTTTGACAAGAACAGTTTATTCTTGCATAGCAGACTGACGTTTCCATTAGTTTTACACATGATGGAAATTACATCTGGCATGAGGGGTGCCTTTAGTGAATCGCGTGCCATTCAATAACATCACTAGCGCTTATTATGAATGAACCGTGTTAAATTGACGTCATTTCGGTGCATCTAAGATGGGAACTATGTGCTTAGGATGACGTCATTTCGCTCTTATTAAAGTTCATATTAAAATTCATACGCTATTGTAAGAAAATAATTATGGATGAAATGACATTGATTTCCATGAACAAAATATCTTATTATGGTAGAGCTAAACCATTTTAAATATGAAATAACATAGTAGACTATTCTAAAATATCTGACATGTTTGTGGTTCAGATCGAAATATCCGTCCCTCAGGTACCTCTTGGCAAGCCTCATTACTGCCCAATGAGTGAGGTACCCTCGGGACGGATTTTCTGATCCCAGCCGTAAAATTTGAAAGATCTTATAATTCTAGAGATATGGAGTACTATTTCTGTGTAATACTAGTATTTAGCAGTTACATCACTGACAGATATGTAATGTTAGTTAAAGGATGTAAATGTGTAACTGACAAAATATACTGTAGAATGCTGCAAAATACATGTATACTGTTAATCTTTAAAAAAAACAACATATTTTTGTTTTTGCCTTCGCTGCTGTCCGTCCATCTGTCTGCACAAACCCAGAGGTACTTGTGTGACTTGGAGGTCAATGGGAAACAGAACATTTTCTTTGATTCTATTCATTTGGTTCTTACTTTAGTGTCTTTTTTTAGACCCTGTGTGACTTAAAATGGCTAAAAAGATCAAAGGAAAAGTCACATAAGTACCATTTCGTAAGTACGCTTGTTTGTCCATCTGTCTGTCCGCATTCAGTTTGTACGGCTTTCACAGGTCAAACTGCTGATTTCAATGTAACTTCACAGACGTGATCAGTACCATCCCTAGTTGTGCATATTTCTGGCACATTCCACTTTGCTGCACAGAATGGCAGCTAGAGATATAAATAGATAAATATTTTCTGACTTTCACAGGTCAAACTGCTAGCGGATTTAAATGAAAGATCACATGAGTGATCAGTACCATCCCTTGTTCATACTGCCCACAAATTTCGCCTCACTGCACATACTGGCTCCCAGAGCTATGAATAGTAAAATAATCTTGTCTGGCTTTCACAGGTCAAACTGCTAGCGGGATTTCAATTAAACTTCACAGGAGTGATCACTACCATCCCTAGTTGTGCATATTTTCTGCACATTCTGCTCTGTTGCACGAAATGCCCCCCAGAGCTATAAATAGAAAAATCTTGTCCTGCTTTCAAAGCTCAAGTGCTGGCGGGATATTGCCCAAAATTCACAGGAGTAATATGAGTACCATGCCTTGTTTTGTGAGACATCTTTTTTTGTGACAAAAACCCCTTCTAGTTATCCCACGCCGAAAAGGCAGCGGGGGATATAGTAATAGTCTCTGTCCGACCTTCCGTCCAACATTTTTGTCCGGAGCATATCTCTAAATGTATTTGAGTTATCAACTTGAAACTTCATAGGTGGATAGACCTCATTGAGGTGGAGTGCAGTGCACAAGAATGATAACTCTACCCTGCATAATTTTTGAGTTATTGCCCTTTGTTATTTTTCAAAATTGATTTTTGTCCAGAGCATAACTCAAAAAGCCTATGAGATATCAACATGAAACTTCATAGGTGCATAGATCTCACTCAGGAGGTGTGCAGTGCACAAGAATGATAACTCTACCTTTCATAATTTTTGAGTTATTGCCCTTTGTTATTTTTCATACTTAATTTTTCACCGGAGTGGAGCATAACTCAAAAAGTGTTTGAGATATCAACATGAAATGTCATAGGTGGATAGATCTTATTGAGGAGGAATGCTGTGCGCAAGAATGATAACTCTTCCCTATACAATTTTTGAGTTATTGCCCTTTGTTCTTTTTCATGCTATTTTGTCCTGAGCTTATCTCAAAAAGTATTTGAGGTATCAACTTGACACTTCATAGCTGGATGGATCTCATTGAGGAGGAGTGCAGTGCACAAGAATGATAACTCTACCCTGCATAATTAGCTCGACTATTCGATAAGAATAAGTAGAGCTATTGCAGTCACCCGAGCGTCGGCGTCGGCGTAACCACTTATGTTAAAGTTTTTGTAATAGTTCAAATATTTTCAAAGTCCATAGACATATGGCTTTGAAACTTTGCACACTTGTTCACCATCATGACCCCAACCTGTAGACAGGAGGAGGTAACTCTATCAAGCATTTTGACAGAATTATGCCCCTTTTTCGACTTAGAATTTACGTTAAAGTTTTTGTAATAGTTAAAATATTTTCAAAGTCCATTGACATATGGCTTTGAAACTTTGCACACTTGTTCACCATCATGACCCCAACCTGTAGACAGGAGGAGGTAACTCTATCAAGCATTTTGACAGAATTATGCCCCTTTTTCGACTTAGAATTTACGTTAAAGTTTTTGTAATAGTTCAAATATTTTCCAAGTCCATTGACATATGGCTTTGAAACTTTGCACACTTGTTCAACATCCTAATCCCAATCTGTAGACAGGAGGAGGTAACTCTATCAAGCATTTTGACAGAATTATGCCCCTTTTTCGACTTAGAATTTACGTTAAAGTTTTTGTAATAGTTCAAATATTTTCAAAGTCCATTGACATATGGCTTTGAAACTTTGCACACTTGTTCACCATCATGACCCCAACCTGTAGACAGGAGGAGGTAACTCTATCAAGCATTTTGACAGAATTATGCCCCTTTTTCGACTTAGAATTTACGTTAAAGTTTTTGTAATAGTTCAAATATTTTCCAAGTCCATTGACATATGGCTTTGAAACTTTGCACACTTGTTCACCATCATGATCCCGACCTGTAGACAGGAGGAGGTAACTCTATCAAGCATTTTGACAGAATTTTGCCCCTTTTTCGACTTAGAATTTACGTTAAAGTTTTTGTAATAGTTAAAATATTTTCAAAGTCCACTGACATATGGCTTTGAAACTTTGCACACTTGTTCACCATCATTACCCCAACCTGTAAACAGGAGGAGGTAACTGTATCAAGCATTTTTTTACTATCAAGCACTTAGAATAGTCGAGCGTTGCTGTCCTACCGACAGCTCTTGTTTTTTAGTTATTGCCCTTTGTTATTTTTCAAAATTAGTTTTTGTCCAGAGCATAACTCAAAAAGCCTTTGAGATATCAACATGAAACTTCATAGGTGCATAGATCTCACTCAGGAGGTGTGCAGTGCACAAGAATGATAACTCTACCTTTCATAATTTTTGAGCTATTGCCCTTTGTTATTTTTCATACCTAATTTTTCACCCGAGTGGAGCATAACTCAAAAGTGTTCGAGATGTCAACATGAAATGTCATAGGTGGATAGATATTATTGAGGAGGAATGCTGTGCACAAGAATGATAACTCTTCCCTATACAATTTTTGAGTTATTCCTCTTTGTTCTTTTTCATAATATTTTGTCCGGAGCTTATCTCAAAAAGTATTTGAGGTATCAACTTGGAACTTCATAGCTGGATGGATCTCATTGAGGAGGAGTGCAGTGCACAAGAACGATAACTCTACCCTGCATAATTGTTTACTTATTGCCCTTTGTTATTTTTCAAAATTAGTTTTTGTCCAGAGCATAACTCAAAAGGCCTTTGAGATATCATTATGAAACTTCATAGGTGCATAGATCTAACTCAGGAGGTTTGCAGTGCACAAGAATGATAACTCTACCTTTTATAATTTTTGAGTTATTCCCCTTTGTTATTTTTCATACTTAATTTTTCAAAGTATTTGAGGTATCAACTTGAAACTTCATAGGTGGATAGATTTTACTGAGGAGGGATGCAGCACACAAGAATGATAACCTACCCTGCATTATTTTTCAGTAATTGCCCTTTGTTATTTTCAGCAATCAGTATTCACATAGGTTTCAAATCTGTAATCACTATAGCCATCAGTTTTCATTACCAAAAGACCTTAAAATGGAGTTATTCTGCTCTACTACATATACATTCTTCCAATGAGCAAACACATTCGGCCGGGGATGGCCATGTTGACATGGCTCTTGTTTAAAATTGAATTGCTCAAGCATTCTTAATCATTTGTATCTGAACCTTTGACCTGCTGAAACTGAAAAGTGCTCAGCCTTTGCCACCAGTATAGGTCCAGGCCTGCCTGTACATCCGTGCATTTACCCGACCAGGCTCTCTATTGTTAGCAACTCATTTATTGAAATCCCTGGTATAATAGACTGATCCAGATTCAAAGGGCAAATCCATTATACGAACTCGGCAGATTAAGCGTTAAAATAAGATTTTCATGAAATATTATCAAATTTTAACAGTCATCTTTCATGTTTCTTTTCATACTCATATTTTGTTTTTTTATCATGATAGTTTTTATTTTTATATGTTTTATTATGTTTACTTTACTGGTTGTAAAGAAAATAAGTTACAAAATAAAGAAATAAAAATGTCTTTGAATTATCTTCGGTCATTGGTATACATATCCTTCTTTTATGCAAAGGGCCAGCATATATAATTTTTATTTTCAAAAACTAAAATATCATTTTTTAAAACATTTGTGCTAAGAGGTGCAGATGCTCAAATGATTCATTTTTGATGTAGACGACTAAAAGGCTGTTAACAAGAGTTAAACTGTTTCTGTATGGTCATCTTGAATGCAGAATATTTTAATCAGAGATGGCCAAAACAGACAAATGCTACAAGTCCATACAAAACCTTGACCAATTTTACAGAACTCTGTCAAAAAGGTACTAACTCATTGTAGTAGATACCAAATTTTTGCACTGTATTGTTCTGCTCAATGTAACAACCTCCAATCTTCATTGGAAGATGTCGATATAAACAATTGTGTCAATGTAGTTACTATTAAACAATGACACTATAATAATCTGTCTTTTAAGATTTTACGACACACCAACACAGTCAAGATCTTTCTGCAATTTTGAAGGTTTTCTAGTGGAGGAAAACCTAGGGGGCCTAGCTTACATTATTTCTGGCACAATCAGGCACTAGAGTAGAACCATCAACCCATAAGCTAACCAGATAGCTTCTCACATTACAGAATTCATTGTCACTGGCAGTATTCAAACCTGCAGTGAAAGAGACCAAGTGATTCTAGTTAACATGTCATCACAATTTGAGCCGCGTCACGACAAAACCAACATAAAGCGTTTGCGACCAGCATGGATCCAGACCAGCCTACGCATCCGAGCAGTCTGATCAGGATCCATGCTGTTTGCTATCAGTTTCTCCACTTGTAATAGAGTTAAATTGGTAAGCGAACAGCATGGATCCTGATCAGACTGCGCGAATGCGCCCATACTGGTGGCAAACTCACAATGTTGATTTTGTCGTGATGCGGCTCATTTGTTCATGGCGGCACCTGTTATTACTATAAGCCAGCTTGACATTGGCACAACGCTGGCACAGAAGGCATCATAGGGCAAAATGAAAAACTTTAGTTTTACAAGACATGTGCAATGAGTATTTTCCTTAGATAACATAATATGAAGTTTAAAGCAATACTAGTACTTTGAATCACTGTTTTTTGTTGTTTTTTTCCCCATGGCCATTTTTTTTCATGAGTAGATCTATTTATAATACAGTATGGATGATATTTGTCTGTAATTAACCTATTATTAAGGCATAAGCTAGATCATAACAAACAAAATAATTCTTTGTTCTTTACTAGGAAAGACGATTACACATAGTGTATTCTATAATAATCACAACAATATTTCATAAAACTAAACAAAAAGAATGTAATATACACAAAGTGAAATCTCAACATGATTAAAAAAAGGTATAAAACTGACCCCTGCCAACAAGAGCTTTTGTTTCATTGCTGATGTCATCTTGTTCATTGACTTACAACAGTTTTGCACTAGCCCTGGAGTCATCAACATCTAGCTACAAATTGTGAAATGATAATTTCTTGCTTTGAAATTAATTTTAAACTATCCACTCTCAGTTGGAGGGGTTTTAATATCAAAGTCACTGTGTAGAAACAGAATCTCTGTGTCATTTAATTCTATTCAATTCAATGTGTATGGGTTGTTGTAATCACAACACTCACAGTATCATTTATTGCAAGCTTACACAACTGATAGATGCCTACACTCTGACCTTTTTTTTTTGAATAACAATAGATTTAACCACAAACATTGACATGTGTTCTTTTGTTAGGAAATATTTTTGTGGTGAAATTCTTATATTGTAATCCACTAATCTGATCATTCAAATTGAACAGATCATGTAGGGGATCCATGCATTCAACTTGTATCATCTTTTTGCGAACACAGGAAGTAGGTGTGTTTCCTCACAGTGAAAATGCATAAATAAAGTAGCAAACTAAGTACAGTATTCACATAAGTGCATGGCTCAGCTCTATGTTAATGATAATGAAAAATAGATATCAATGTTAACAAGAGCTGTCGGTAGGACAGCACGCTCGACTATTCTAAGTGCTTGATAGTAAAAGAGCCTTGATAATGTTAAATTTTCTAAGTTCACAAAAGGGCTAAGTTTTTTATAAATTCATGTTATAGGCCTTAGAGAGAGTCTTATTATACAGTATTGGCTTGACTATTCAGAAGGTAATGTCACAAGGGTGTTTTATTGAGTATAATAATACTAATTACCTATGAATACATAAATTTGACAGAAAAGGTACAAAGGCTTGTTATTAAGATGCTTTATCAAGTAAATCACTGCTTTATTATTATGAATGCATAAAATTGTCCCAAAAAAGGCACAAACCCTTCAGTAGTTATTGAGCTTACAAAGCAAAACTTTACCATGAATTTCTAAGTTTGAAAAAGGGGAGAAAAATCAGCCTAAATGCAAGATAGAATTATGGATCTTTGTCAGTGACCTACAATTATGACCCTAAATGCAGATGTGAAGTTTAAAAAAAATATCTAATAGTTATTGAGATATGTTAAACTTGCATGTAAACATTAACCAAGAGACTAATTAGAAAGGGGAGATGAATCAGCCTTAATGCAAGAGAGAGTTATGGAACTTGGTCAAGTGACATACAATTATGAACCCTCCAATTATGACCCTAAGTGCATTGTGTAAAGTTTCAAGTAAATATCTTTGAAGACCTTTAACAAAAATTTTAAGTTTCAAGTTTCAAAGGGGCAAATAATTCTGTCAATATTGTAGGTAGAGTTATCCAACTTGTCAATCTGATGTACCTTGTTACTATAAATAAGTATTGTAAGTTTCAATTAAAATATCTCAAAGTAATAATTGAGATATTTGACTTGACAAAAAACTTTAACCAAAATTTCTAAGTTAAAAAGGGGCATAATTCTGTCAATATTGTAGGCAGAGTTATCCAACTTGTCAATATGATGTACCTTGTTACTATAAATAAGTATTGTAAGTTTCAAGTGAATATCTCAAGTAATGATTGAGATATTTGACTTTACAAAAAACTTTAACCAACGCAGACGCCGACGCGGACGCCGGGGCGACTACAATAGCTCTCATATTCTTCGAATAGTCGAGCTAAAAAGTAACAGAGTTAAACTGGCATAATTCATATCATGATTTTAAAATATCATTTTCAACCTTGTTCACAATATCTTCATTATACTGGATTTTACATATAAAAAATACAAAAATATACAAATATAAAAGAAACATGCATAGCATACAGTCATAGTTAAGTCCTTATCTATTTAGTTTTACCCTGGTTACGTTAGCTGTTTATCAACATTGTGTGTGTTCTAAGTCTAATAAGGGTCTATCCACACTTTCAAGCACTGAGAGGACCCCAGACATGTCACCAATCATAAAATCAAAAAAGTTTTAAGTTGCCAAATGGTGACCTATTAATTTTATATTTTGTCAACATTTTATTAACACAATGCTTTTATACCTTAATTGAACTTGTTCTTTCAATCTGGACTAAACTGTTAATCATTTAAAGGGAAAATATCAAAATAAGCATTGACTGAATAACAAACAGTGCAGACCATGGTCAGACAGCATATATCTTGATCTCATAAGATGAGAAGATTTGGTTGTCGCTAAGAAGAGAGTTTTCAATTTTCTCCTATTCAACATTTTTTTTTTAAACTGATATTATGTATCTCTAATAATGTTACATCGATCTGCCCCTTATAATATTGTAAAAAGGTCTAAAAGGAGTACCTTTTTATTTCTTGGTCTTTCAAATCAAGCCGAAAATGAAAATAGTGTAGAGCAAATAGATTCAACCCATTTCTCAACTTTAAACAGCAAGAAAAAAATAATTAAAAAAAATCAACAAAAAGAAAGTGCAACTGGCCAATAATTCTTTAAATTATAAAAGTTCAGGCAATGAACAGTCTGTACCTGAAAGACGAGTTTAAAATATCTATGGTAAGAGATAGTTAACTGTAAATTCATATCAGTAGAGTATTAGAACTTGTATGTCCAATAATTCATTACATATTGCTATAAATAAACAAGGAAAATTATCAAAATGCATGTACACTCAGAGGCACTAACAACCTGGCACTGACATTTTTCGGTATCAATTGGTCATTTGTTGACGGATTTGTTCAAATTTGGACCATACCAAATTTAATATGTCATACTTACTTCTAAGAATTTTATTTATTATTCATTGTTAAAAAAAAAGAAGAAGAAAAAATAACAAAACAAGTATGAGAACAAATTACCATACAGATTAAGTGCTATTCAGAGACTGTTCTTCTTGTATCGATTTTTTTACTGCCATTCTGTGATTTTTCATGTTATAGTAGCCTATTTGTTTTGTTAATTTTTCTATTTTCATGACAATGAATTGTTAATAAAATTCCAAGTTGTAAGAACAATATGTTGAATTTTGCATGGACCAAATTAGATCAAAATCCTTCAACAAATGACCAATTCTTATCGAAAAATGTAAGAGTCGGTTTATAAATGCCTCTGAGTGTATTCATGCCAATTACTGTAATGAAAATGGACACAGTAAAAAGCTAGATATACTACACTGCATTATAATAAAAAAAGCTTTACTGCCAGTAAGCATTTGTTTCTTTATTTACAGCATTATATATTTAAGCATGTAAAAAGTTTCTTGAACCACTCTTTTCAGTCTGCATACTGAAACTACCCCAGTACTGGTGACATATGTGGAAATATGATCATTTACCCCAGTAGTCTATATAAACTCTTGCGAATTTACAAAACCTGTATCCAATACTCTGCATGAATTATAGTTAAGTGTATAATTTTATAAAGATACTTGGACTAAGGAGATAATTCATTATATAGTTATTTCATATGTGATTTGGGAACAGTCAAACTGTGGCCCATGGTGGAGGGGATAGTGTTTTCAACTTCTGCCCAAGTCCTTAGGCCGAGGGCAACAGTTCAAAACATTTTCCCGACACAGAGGGACAACTGGTTGACTGATCCCAAATCATATATGAAATAACTGTTTTATTACCTGATCAATTACTGTTTTAACTGTAATTGCAGAAGAAAAAAGGAATAAGAAAATAGTTTTTCAAATATGTTAATAATTAAACTTTCCGAATTTAACAATCTTTAACTATGTCTCGTCACGTCTGGTTTATGACGCTCCAAGGGGGAATCATCTATGATGTCAGAGCATGCGAGGGAATCAGTCAAAATTTTGACCGGTCAACAGTTCGTGGGCATTTTAGGAATATCAGAAAACAGTAAAAAATACCAAATGGCATTTATACAGGGTATCAGGTAATAAATCTAAATATCCACAAATCTAATGAACATAATCTTTCAATATTATTGTCATAATAAACTAGAACATAGCATGCGGTTTTGAAGCTCATCTGTAACAAAGAGACATAACTCCAAAAAATAGCTTTCAGAATTATTCTAACAACTGCATCTTGTCATGGTAAGCATGATTACCTAAAATGTTTGAATAATGGTCTACATTAGTTTTTGCATGACGATGACAGCACCACCGACAATGTTGCAGCAATCATCAGAGTTCAAATTTTTTCTTCAAAACAGACAGGCTAAAAAAGAGTTTTTTTAGATATTGTTCATAAGTGTTTAAATCTAGGGACTATCTGTGTTAAGTATAACAATCAAACAAGAGAGAATATTTTTGACTTATACATTTTATAAATATAAAAATAAGGTTTTTTACAAGTTATTTACCTCCTGGTTGGGGACCACCAAAACCTGACAACCATCAAACCCGGCCTGGAAAATGCCTGATTTGTTTTTTTTTCTTTGTTCAGTGGTTGTCAATCAGTCAGCAGCCTTTTTATCAACATTAAATGCATGTTTCTTCTATAATTAAGTTATTAAATTTATTTCAACTTATGTAAATGGTACAATTTTATTGTCCATATCAAGAATGTTGCCTTTGAAAATTTGGACGTCAAGAGTGCAATACCTGACCTCACATACTAGCTATAATCATTTGTAGTGTAAACAATAAAATATCCAAAACTTCAGCATTTGCTGCTGAAATAGTGTATATCATATTAAAAATAAAAAATTCAAACGCCCTAGCTTTTATCTGAATTAAATCAACGCCATGTAATATCTGTCCGGGCACATGGTACTGTAGTGTGGACAATTTAGGTAATTTTTATACCCTCCTTAGGAGAAGAACCTAGCTTTTTTTGGTCAAAGTTTTAGATCTCTAGCTTTAAAATTAAGAAATTTGCATGGAAAACTGTTCAAAGAGTGTCCGGTTGATGGTCCCGACCAGTATGATAAAGACAATTATACATGTATATTAGCAATGAAAACTTTTGATATTTAGAAGTATGTGACCCCTATAGTTGACCTATTATGCTTAGTATTGATGTAGTAACTGACACACCTTATGTGACAATCTGATGAAAAACGTCACTGTTCACTAAACACACAACATGAATTTACACCTTTACCTACATATAACCAGTACAAGCTTGAAAATCATAGAAATAAAAGTTGGGTAAAATAAATTAAAAATCAATAAAATGCTCATAGCTATAACATTAATCTATTTATAACAGTTCTTGAATAATTCTGAAAGTACATGGTATCATAATTAAGTATAATAGATAATCTACAATTAACATCTTAAATATAAAGTTATGTATATGTGTAAATAATCTACAACTTCATATAATGTCACTCAACATAATTTTAATCTATGAAAATCATATTTTCATTTTTATGAACACTAAAAATCTTTTTCAAATAGTATAAAATTATAGTACACGCAATTCATGCTGAGTACATCTTATACTGAATTCATATTTTTTGAAAATATCACAATTTGTTACAGTTTTCCTTTGTTTTGTTTTTTTACAACACATTTCAAAAAGTATGAACTGGCAGTTCATGCTCCTGGCCAGAGTTTACTTCCTTCCACTGACTTTTTATCAGCATGAGAAATTTTTGCATTTCTCGCTCATTTTGAATGAACAACCGTACTTCAATTTCCGGTGCTATATTGCGCCCCCTGGTGTCTTTAAGACTGTAATGGTCCTGTATAAGAATGATATCCTCTTTTTCATCGGAGAAAACCAGAGTGATGTCCCTTTGTTCAGAACTATTCAATTTGACACATTTTAAATATTCAATCTTTTTAACATCAGTAACGTGCTGGCGAGGCATGCTGGGTAGCCCTCTAACAAAGTCAGGTAGTGGATAGCTAACCAGATCTTCTGTAACAAAACACAGACATTTATTTGTTAAAATGATGCTGATTGGTTCAAGCAGCACTGAATTGACTTCTTTGATGTGAGACTGTGTTTTGAAGCCTGCTATGTAATGAAGGATATTTTCCTTACCAACTTTAATGGAGGCTGATTTCAGGTGCTCATTTATCAAGAAAAGTAGGTCAGATACAGATTCATCACCAGGGTAACAGAATTTTACTCTACTTGGATGTATATACTCAATCCCTTCCACTGTTGTTTTTGTCCTTTTATCAAAAGCTTTGTAAAAGTCCTGTTCAAGGTCACTCGAGCTTGATTCCAGCATGGGTGAAGCGATGTATAATGACAACATCGTGGATAGATTCTTCATAAACAAACTGGTTGTTTCTGAGTTACGTGTTATAAGTGTAAATACAGTTTCTTTCTTGTCTCCAGTCAATCTCAAACACTGGTCAAACAAGCCAACATTTATCTGTTTAATATCGGCAAAGTCTAGAACACTGTATGGTTTTACAATGGCATCAGTGCTTTCTGACAAATGAAGAATTCCAGAGCTGTGATGCTTGTCTGCTTTCCTTGCTTGAAGACCAATCACAGAGTCTGACACATGTCTTGCATGAGTCATCCAAGATGGCCGCCCAGATGTCTGCTGCAGTTTCACAGGTCTGTCAGACACAAAGTATACTGCCCTGTTACTCAACATAACACATGTCACTATTTCATCTTTTGGATTTGTGTATGGAATGACATTGGTCCATATTATATGATGTAGCTCAACTCCATCGTGGCCAACAGGAACTATATTCATGTGGAAAAACTTGGCAAGTGTCTGACCATCCATTTCACACAATGCTTGAAGTTTGACAGAAAGTGGCTGGAACAGAGTATACCTTTTCACACAAGCTTCTAGATGCAAGACCAACTCTGGAGTAAGGTAATGTAATGTATAACTTGGTAAATCTCTTTCCCCATCTGGCGTGTTGTCTGTGTTTTTAATTAAAACAATTTCTGTTTTTGATCGCAGTTTTCTTTTACCAAGAGGTTGTATTGGTTGTTTATCTTCATCATCCTCTGAGCCACTTTCATCCAGGTTAACTTCTGTCTGCAGATAGATATTTCCCTCTATGTCCAAGTCTTTAACAATATCTTTGTCTTCAGAACCATCTGATGATTCATTCCCACCTTCAGGTTCCTGGCGTAACGTTGGAGACATTCTGTGTGCATGTTCTGATCTTAAACTTGTCAATCTGTCAAGAAATGAGTCTCTCACTTTTGTTGAAAGAAACTGAAAATCAAACTTATGTGATCCAAGAGTCTCATGAAAGACCATTGACAGACCATATTCTTGAAATTTTATGTTAGAACTGATAAACTCCAGTTTATTTTTATCATTTTCACCAGAATGTGAAACCTCGCTATGTTTATACTTGTTTATTTCACTAATTTTTGCTTCCACGCTAAACTGTTGCAATATCTCAAACTTCCCGACTGATTCAATTTCATTCAGGTCGAATGTTGGTTTTGGCCAGAAAATACACCAAGACTTAAATATTTTAAAACATGATTTTTCTGACAACACTAAAAAAAGTTTCCAAAACCCTGTCTTAAAATCGGGCCCCAAAGCGCTGGGTTAAAAGGGATCCCCTTCCCCGTTTCATTCACCATTCAAATTTTCCTTCCAAAAGTCAAAAAATCTGTTTTGAAATATCACAGTCGTGTACACTGTTAATCACATCTAGTTCCGTATTATCCGATGAAGTCTCGGCACAAGATTTTAGCTCATCAAAAAAAACTTTTCCAACATCGGGATCAGCAGGAATGAGAGCAAATGTACCAGACGGACCAACAAATGATTCCTCTACTCTAATATAACTGTAACATAACCCTGTCACCACCTGTTGAATATTGCACAATGGTAGGATGTAAAAAGTCTCCATTGCAGGAACACCCTTGATAGGCGAGTCCTCGTCCCGTAACTGAAGAATGAACACGCGCCTCTCGGTAAGAACGACACAACACGGCAACTGAGAGCCAGGATTACTGTATTGTACAACCAAACACCAGAAAACATTCCTAATTTCTTCTACAGTATCGTCGGAACTAGCTCCTTGACCAAAAAGTCTCGTATGAAGCCACGAGAGGAAATCAGAGTTTCTATGATCAGGTAATGACATAATATTTACAAAGGTTACAGATGATGAAGAGTTGCTTGATAATGATGATGGTCGAGATCGTGAGATTCTGAAAGTAAAAAATCAAAAATTTACCCGATGGATTGTTCATACATGTATATATAAACTCGCTCCTGTATAGAAATCTTACTATTGAATGAATGATGATGTAAAATTATTAAGAATTGGTTTAAACATATTTATTTAAGCTTGATTGCAAAACAAGTTCTTGCAACTTATATTAATCACTTTCGAGTCCGCTTCCTGGAACCAACCAGTACTGATGTCATATGAAGAAACATGGTTGTGACCCGAGAAGGGCTCGAATGTGACCCGAGAAGGGCTCGAACCCAAGATCTCTAGGTTGAGAGGCAGACACCTTAACCACTAGGCCACAGCTCCCCCTTAAGAATTTAAAGCAGCCAAAATATCTACAATATATTTTGTACTGTGTATGGCACTACTGTATTAAGTAAACGTTTCAATTTACGAGCAATTGAGAATGAATTAGTCTTGAATCTTTTTCAGTTGTTTTATGTAACATAAAATTTTACTGAGGTATGACGTGCAAGAAAATAAATCTCTACATTTTTGCAATCTAAATAGAATGGAACATTTTTTTTAATTTATTCAGACATATTTGTTAAATGCATATATACAGTTACCATCAATCAAGATATTTCATCTAAAAACACAAACCTTTTAATTTTCTGACTTCCAATGTTTAAATCTACAGATCTCACTGGTGACTTGTTGAACTGAAACAATTGTTAAATTGCAGCATTAACATCATGAGGAAAGAGGAAACTTACAAACTCATCTTATCAAAATTGTCTTTAATTCATCAATCAACTTTAGAAATAAGCTTGAAACAAAACTTATAGCTTGTATCAAACTTAGTGATAATATGCCTTGTCTTATGTAACTCTGGTCATAACAAACTCATGTTCATGAATATCTAAATTGTTAATGAATAACTTTGTTCATGAATAACTCTTGCCGTGAAATATAATTTTCTGCAGTTGAGCGAGTGAATTAGAGGAAAATTATTTTCAATTGATCAAATATAGTATCCTATTGTATAGTTTGTGCATGAAGTTATGGTGCTTAAGTAATATGTAGTATTCAAGGGCATTCAGCTTTGGACAATCAACCAGGCAATATCAGCTTAATTAAAAAAATATATAAAAATAAAAATTGGCAAGAAATGTGTTTAGCATCAATGTTTCAATTTTAACCATCTAGATGTGATATATTTGTATGATGATTTTATTATCTGAAGATTGTTCCTCTATGAATGTGTTAAAATGAATATATATGTTTTGATATATTTATTATCGTCCGAGTGCTCCATACATATAATACATTATTAAATAATATTATAGTGTTTGTTGTTTATTATAAGGATATAGTATGAGTTTAGAGGAAAAACTGTGACCATGGATGACTAGTCACAACCTTCATATCTAAATAATAAATTTATACTTTTTTATTTACACAGCAGAGGTTGCTCCTTTGAGTACAATTACACACAGTGACTGTCGAAAATATATTTTAATTTTCAAATAAAGAAAATAACTCAAACTTTAAACACAAACCTGTGATGATGGATTAACATGTGGAGATGTTGACAATCCATGTGGAGAACTAATGTGCAATGATTTTACAGTGTTTGTATTCAATGACCCTCGACCTAGAATCAGAAACCAACAAATGACATAGTTATGATACACTAACAAATTAATTTATATACAAAAATATAACCAGGATATACTGACAGAATCTTTACTTGTCTTGTATGGTAACATTTTCATGCTGATAAGTCTGTCTGTACATTTATCAGCTTGTTTACTAAATTTATTGGTCGACTTTGTTTTACTGGCTGAATGTCCCCCGTTTGTCTCTGTGTGTGTACACATTTCTCTACAATATTTGCTGACCAGATTAGAAGCATTCACTTATAATTAAATTTTCTTCAAATTGTTTAAGTCTTCATTTACCTATGGACACACCTATGCACCTACTTCTTTTTACCCCTTCAACCCTCTGATTGCCTGCCTGCCTGCCTCCTGCCTTCCTACCCATCCCACTGCTTAAATACATACCCAACCCTCTGTCTACCTGTCTGTCTGTCCGTCAATTAGTTAAGATATATACAATGTACAACATAAATAGATGCACCAAGATCAAAACAATAGTAACATTTATAACAAACAAAAATAAATTCTAGCATACACCCAATCATCACATTAGTATCAGTAAAATTTCATATCAACCAAACAGTTTTAGATGTATTAATGTCTTGTAAAACATGAAATGTTTTAGGTCAGCATACATTACATCAAACAAAACATCATTGGATAGTTATAGTTATTGGTTAATTAATGAGTTAATACTTTAGTCAAATAATACCATTCAACACTGACTCTTATAACAAAGAATACTCAAGCATTTATTCAAGTGACAGCTGGCACCTGAGGAGAACCACTGACCTATTCCAAGCTAGCTGGATAGCTTATATGAAAGAATCGTGCCTCAAACCCACAAGATATGGAGGCAAGTGATTCTATGTCAGCTACCTTTTATGAATAAGTCTACTTTCTACAGGTGATAAGTAGAGGAGTCTGTACAACAAATGAAAGGTGACAATTGAACATGTGCATGTTATATTACCAAGGAAAGGTGACATTGAACATGTGCATGTTATATTACCAAGGAAAGGTGACATAAACATGTTATATTAGTAACCAAGGAAAGGTGACATGAACATGCGCATGTTATATTACCAAGGAAAGGTGACATGAACATGTGCATGTTATATTACCAAGGAAAGGTGACATGAACATGTTATCAGATTACACTGCTGGGAATTATATGTACAAGCAAAGCCAATGCTAAATTCTGGTTAGAATACGGGAAAATGTGTGGGGGGAGGGGGGTAGTGAGATGACATAGTTATAGATTGATATTGAGAATATCATATGATAGCAACAAATTTACCGACAACTTTCTATATATGGTATGTATTCTTAAATGATTTTAGTCACAAAAGGTCTTAGATCTATGTGTTAATATACCTACATGTTATACCTGCATATCGACATTAATATATACATGTATACCTATCAATATATATTAAAGAAACACAAACACTTGGATTGTGTTGCTTATATACCCATCATATTTTTTATAATTTTCGCAAATTTCAGTTACAATAGAAAGTATATATTTATGTATGACGAAATATCTATTTGACCTTGTTTACAAAAATAATCTCTTAACCCTTTTGCTGCCAGAGGGTTATTAATTTATTAATCACCTATTTGCCAGAGGGTTTGCTAAGAAATTACTATATTATTAATATAATTATTATTATTTATTATTAGTATTATAATAATAATATATGTTTCCAAATCTGCTAGTATAATAATAATTATTGTTGATGGTATAATTATCTATATATTTATTATTATTATCATTATTATTATAGAAACGGCAAAAGCTGTCCATATGGCAAATACGCCGAAAATAATAGGGACGGCACAATTATGCCGTCCTTATGGCAGCCCAAAGGGTTAAATGCACCAATAGTCCTTGTCCATACCCTAGATGTTGAATATTATTTAAGAGGCTGAAAGAGCCTGACTGGAAATCAAACCCTACAACTTTTAAAACCAAAGGATACCTTTCACACCAAAGGTTACATATCACACCAAATGTTACCTTTCACACCAAAGGTTACATATCACACCAAATGTTACCTTTCACACCAAAGGTTACATATCACACCAAATGTTACCTTTCACACCAAAGGTTACATATCACACCAAATGTTACCTTTCACACCAAAGGTTACATATCACACCAAATGTTACCTTTCACACCAAAGGTTACATATCACACCAAATGTTACCTTTCACACCAAAGGTTACACCTCACACCAAAGATAAACACTATCTTGTTACTGTTATAACTAGCTCTATAGCAAAGTAGTACAAGTGAACCCATGTAAACTACAATAATGTTAATTTGTATGCTTATATATGTTTTATATATTATATAATGCTATCCTACATGTGAAACAAGCACCCTTTTCCTCTGAAGCTCAATAAATCTGTGTTTATATCTCTGTACCTTACAAGTTAAAGGGACTCAACTGAGGTTTTTTGACAGAAAGGGACCGAAAATAATTTTTTCCTTTAAATACTTGATGTAGGATCTGATCAAAGAACTCATATACAGAATTTCATGTCATTCACTCACTCTGCTTCATAGGGATAATCAATTTTATATTGCATAGAAAAGCGTTGCACTCAAATAGACGCAAAAATTGTATAAAAAATCAATTTTTATTCCATTAACAAGTATATCTATATATACTATCTATTGTATAACTTTCCATTTTAACGCACCAGTTGATTTATTTTTTTTTTTTTTTTGATTTTAGTCTAGACCTCAGTGGAGTTCCTTTAAAGATGCCATGCTTGATGAGCTATATAATTATGCAAGCATTCAAAACTATGTGAGACTAAATATCAAAACATTTAGCAAACACATTCTATAATTAAACTATTCCTTTGAAATTTAACATGACATATTGCCCATTGTTTTAAAAAGATAAACTATTTAAATGGGGATTGACCAATAATTGATCATGACAACTTAAACAGTTACGAAGGTTATTTATATATATTCATGTGGGTGACATGAATTAGTAATTGTTCATGTGAAACAAAATGAATTGAAAACAATTTTTTTTTTAATTTAAAGTAATGTTGACCTTTTCCAGTGCACTTACTATTTACACATGGATGGGCATAATGTAACTTAAAGCATAAGAGTTCTGAATCTTGAATATATCTTAAAAAACACTCTAAAGTTCCAACATAACAAAGAGTAATGAACAATTTAAAAATGCTAGTTCACCCACAAATGTTTAGAAATAAACCATATCAAGAAAGGTTTAAAAAGTAAATTGTTGTAACATTAGGGTGATTTAAATTCCAACACCATAACAGAAAAAAACAAGAGCTGTACATAAGACAGTGCCCTCTACAATTCTCAGTGCTTGGCAGTAAGGAAAGGAGCATAAGTCTGTAAAAAGGTAATTCAGAGTTATGGGACCTGTGTCCATCATGTTAGAAAATCACAGAGAACAAGTGTGTGAACTTTCATTCATTCAATTCCTTTCAGAAGTCTCAAAGAAACTACATGTAACTTGCCAGCAAAATTACAACCAAAGTGTGACAGCGACACAGACGCCCAAGCCATGGTGAGTACAAAAAGCTCCAAGACATCCTACTCTTCGAAATAGTCTAGCTAAAAACTGAACTGGACTTAAAAAGCGCAATAGCATTGTCTAATTTAATAACATAATCTTATAAAGGGCTTGATGTGAAACTTACTAAAGTTCTTCAGTATCTCAAATAAAGTAAGTTTCCCTTCACGTCCTTGTTATGCAAATGATGGATATAAAAATTTAAAGCCCAAAACTGCAGCAAGTTATATCTCTGTAGAGTTAATGTTATATGTGAGATTAGCATTTTACCTGTGTTAGACGTACGGACATATAAGCTATATTTCTGTAGGAGGGGAGCTGTCTCGCTTACCTGTAAAAAACACACATTTAACCAGGCTTTCATAATTTTAACCTACTGTTAGAAAATACAACTTATTCACATTTCCTTTGAGATATTATTTCATTTTATTCATTTATCTTTTTTCTATGGTAATATTTTGTGCTTTTGCAGTCCGGATATAAATTCCATTGACATTGTTATAGGTCAAACTGCAACTTTTACTGATGGAGGAGGTCTAAAAGTCACCCCCTTCAAACAATCTATCTGATATATTTGCTGTCATCTAGGTAGAATCATTAACCTTCTACTAGCTAGGTATAAAGCGCTAAACCCTGCTGAATTTATGTAATGCGTTTGCTCAGCTAAAAGCTGTAAATATATATTGTTTTCATATCCTAACGGTCATAGCTCGAAAAAGTTGTTACATAGAATGTCCCTGTTGTTTATCATACAAGAATATTGTACATAAATCAGAATAAAATGTTCCAGAACAAGTTATTCCCCTACTATTTTAGTTGGTTTAGCCATTATATAACACATGTTCCACTCACTTTCATTAAAATATATGGACATATTTCTTTTGTTTAATGTTTTTTGTAGCTATTTTAATTCTAATATAAACAATTTTTGGACATCCAAAAACACCAAAGATATAGCTTTATACACTTTAAATATAAACATGATAGAAAAAAGTTTTAGATTTTATGTTAAGTGAAATTATTTAAAAATTCACATCATAAGTTTGACAATGTTTGTGCAGTTTATGTCAAAATTCATGGAAACTATAGACTACACAAACCAATTTAGAATGACAATAACCTAATTAGAGTAAACACTTTAATGAATATTTTACATAAATCTTTCATACATAATTGAGGAAATGCTTTATCTACATGACTGTTACTTGATTATTATTTCAGTGCATTTATTAAGATCATTCACATGCTGAAAGGGGTTGTAACTTAATACACATTACACTAAAAATCAGTACCAGTGTAAATGCTAATTCACTGTGTATTACCATAAGCTTTGTCAGTATATTTGTAGCTATTAGACACTAAACAAAAACAACATTTATAAAAAAAATCAAACAACCAAAAACAAGAGAGATTTTAAAATCCAACAATGCAAATAAATCCAAAGTTCAAAATAAGGTTTTGAAAGTGAAATAAAATGATCAATTAAAGGAACTCCATTGACATTTTTTTGACATAACAGGACTGAAATTACTTTTTTGACATAAATGTTCCATTTGATACAGGTCTAGACAAATAGCTTGTTTGCAACATTTCTTATCATTCTCTCCCTCCGTTTTTTTTTTTCAGAATAATTGCTCTGTTTGTAAAAAATGTTGTTGCAATACTTTTCACTCAAATCGGGCTAAGAATAGCACATAAATACAATTTTCAATTTATTTCTCTATGTGTCTATTTCTTAATTACCTTTTGCATATCTTTTTGTTTTAAGTGCCCCAGCTGATCTATGTAAGAAATTTAAAAAATAAGTTTTTTAGGCTTTTGGACCTCAGTGGAGTTCCTTTAACACAAGAAAATAAAATTTTATAACAAAAATATTATACAACAAAACATCTACAAAAGCCACAAATACAAAATAAATATAAATCACAAAAAAACATTTCACAGTGCAAATATTTTATAAGGCCATGTCCGTTGAGCGAGTCTGATGTCATACAATGCTGTCTGTTGTAAGTCAATTTTGAATCTATTCTACTAAAACGTAAGGATTTCATTCACTTACACAAAAACTATAACTTTAAAAGCTAAATCACATATTAAACTAAGAATTTAAATATTTACTTTTTGAAAGTGTGAATCATAGCCTTTACAGGCAGAATAGAAAAAATTTGACACCAGGGGGCAGCCTATAAAGGTAGCAATATATTGAAAATGTTTTACTAGGTTTAACAGCGACATAGACTCATAACTGGTCATATCTCGCTGAAATGTATTAAAGAAATTTTACGTGTAATGGTATAAACACTTATCTTTTATTAAATTTTATTAAAGTTTCAGTCACATTAACAGTCATATGGTGACTTTCTACATAAACTGGAAGAAAAAGCACTCGGGGGTCCATACACAGGTGTCCCTTCGTACGTACCACTTAAATGGACTAAGGGGCCATTTCTTTTGTTATTTTCTTTTGTTTAATAGATGGCCATGACCCGTATTCTATTGTTACAGAATGAACTTCATTATTCTCTTTTGTTCTGTTTACAGTTACATGGCCCCCTACTTCTCTTAAATAGCACAATATTTCATACATGAGCTGACACCAAAGTAGAACTACACAACTATCGTAAGTTTGCTGCTGTTCTGCACAACTTCCTCACATGAAAGAATTCAAAGTCATTGTCTGGACTGGAACCCACCAAAGCAAGGAGCAAGTGACAAGAATTGTGTTACCATAACAACTAGAACCATGGAGGTCCCTAAATAATCTTTATATTATAAGAGAAAGACTAAAGTAAAAAAGAAAATAGAACGAAATGGTTTTTAAACTCTGGTTGTTCAGTCTAAGTATTATTTAATTTAAGGGTAGTTTTTGTCATGCACTTTCTGCAGCCATTAAGCTTTGGTCGTAATTTCTTATCTAGATATTTTATCAACAACTAATACATACCTTTCCAAACTTATGTCCAAATGTTAAAATGCAAAAAAAAAATTCCTTTAATCCACCTTTTTACAACAAACAGTATATATCAAATTGTAAGAGTTGCTTATGAACATTTTACTAGGAATATAAGCACTAAATACATGTAGAAACAATAAAAATCTACTTTCATTTGTGTGTTGTAAGTTACAACCATATTATATCAACTCCTCAACGTTCATTATAATTTATCAAGGACATTCTTGACATTGAAAAAGCAGTGTTAAAAGAAATAACCTTTACACTGCTAACTTTGTGAAATGGACTTGCCTAGCCTTCATGTTGGATCTGTTCATTATTAATTTACAGGGGTTTCAATATCAAAATGTTATATTTAAGCATCCACTGTATCATAGTGTGACCAGATTGTAGGTTGCCATGGTGCAATAGTTATCATTGTTCTTTACTGGTGGCCATGGTTCTTTTCTGTTTTCTACGGTTTGCTATGGTTTTATATGAATTGCCATGGTTCTATATGTGTCACCATGATTCTATATTTGTTGCCATGACTATCTACTGGTCACTATGATTTTATATTGGTTGCCATGGTTAACTACTGGCCACCATGGTTTTATTCTGGTTAGTTAGGCAAGTCATTATCACAAGCTAGCAGTCTGAAGGTTTTTAATTTGTTGTTATCATGGTAAGATAGGCAGGATGTGCATTAAGGAGATACATACTTTATTACCTGATGATTGTGTGTTGCCGTGGTAGCCACCTAGACTGCTAGAACTTGGTGTGTGTGACAGGTCAGATAGGGAGGCCCCACTTGCTGCCTAAAGTAAATATTATAAAGTGAGATATGAGAAAATGGAAAAACATTGTTATAGCTATGTTTACAAATATTCTAATAACAGAAATGTGTTGTCTGTAACAATAACTTCACATCTTTGTCAATCAAGAAGAATTGGAAAACAGAACACTTACACCACTTCATTATTATATACTTATATTCATCAAAATTAAGTCTATGGAAATGGCAAACAAGCTCTTTATTGTTTCCAACAAGATAACAAAATCAAGGACGGGATAATTATATGAAATTAACAGCATGGTTTTAGAATAAGATTTTAAATCTTATAAAAACTTACGTAAAGCATACACTATGCATTGTAATTCCTTTAAAGGGGATAAAGCAGTGTCTATTCTAGGAGGGGGGATAGGGGGATTCACTCCTATTTTTGAGAATTCCACCTTAGTTTTTCAGAGGCAGGAGAAAAATTTTACATAGAGAAAGAAAAAAAATCAACAAATGTAAAAAATTATCACTTTTCAATAAAAATCCCCCCTGTTTTTCAAATCCTAGAATAGACACTGGATAAAGCTATAGCTTAAAAAGTATTTTTACAAATCGTATAAACATTAAAATTATGTTGTTTCAGTTACTTTATGGTTGATTCTCAAAAGAATTGTAACATTGGATATTTCTGTTATTTTTAACACATATGATATACATATCAGAATAAAATGTTCCAGAACAAAATATTATGCTGCTATTTTAAGAAAGGTTTTAGCTGCTTAGCATTGGTATCATGCATTTGCCATTCACTCCTTAGGAAATATACATACATATTTCTTTCATACAGGTATTTTTGAAGTGTTCTTTTTCAAAATTCATGTAATGATTTTGTGAACTATAGGCAGCAGATATAAAGATATAGTTTTATACACTTGCAGACAAAAGTAAGAGACATATCTGTGAGTAATGAAATAATTTTGTTTTTATACCTTTTTAATATTGATTTCTTTAGCTTTATCCTTGGATTTCTGTATGGCTTGCAATACTTTAACAGTGTCCAATTCTTTCTCGGATGTCACTTCTTTATCTAAACATATCTGAAATTGTTATATACAGTTAATTTAATAACTTTTTTTACAAACTTCAGATGTTCAAATCATCACAAAACATTTCTAAACTACATTTGATATCAATCAATGGTGCATATCATGTCTTTTTTTTTGTTTCTTAATATAGTTAATTGAAAATGGCTACTGGTCAACCTATAAACAAGAGAATAATAAAATAAAATATAAATATAAGATCTCAACTATCATCTTTAATCGAATTATGCATATTGTTAAGCAGTAGAAGGGATATTCTTATTCATAAATATACTTTGTACATTTTTCGCACGATAAAGGAATAAAATCTTATTAGCATTTAGACAACATTTTGTTGACTTCTTACATGTTAACAACATTACAATTTACATGCAGTATGTTTATTTACATGTTTTATGTTTACATAATACTTATCTATCTCAAATGTACTTCTTGTGTACACACCAATAGTTTTTTGGATAGTACATTTATGTGTAAAGGGCCTCACTTAATAAATGAGTTGAGCATTTTTTCTATTTGTTTTCTTTGTAACAAGCTACCAGATACTTTTATCTATTCTATAAGTGCCGGAATATTCTATTTAGTATTAGTGCCAGATTTGATTCCTTTTTTAACATATTTTAAATAACACCTTGATACAGACTCTTGAATTTCTTTTTCTAGATGTATGTATAGGTAATTTTGTTAAGGCAGTCAATTCTTACAACCACAAATGTGTGACACAAGTACATTACTGAATTTAACTTGACTAGGCGAGGCAGTAGCTGCGCCTGATATAGGTTTGGAAGCTGTATACAAGTCCAATAGAATCAGTATAGCTCTCAAGACAACCATGTTAAATGACCTCTTTTATTGCACATTCATTAAAACAAATCATCCATTCCATTTTAAAACAGAAGGTATACAAGTCTTGTAGGCAAACATATGGTAGTATGAATGGGAGGGGTATGCCTGTCTTACAGGAACAAAATGGGATTAGTACAAAGCAGAGTTTTATATTTGTAAATATGTCATAAAAGGTCATACCTCACTAACTCTGTCACCAAACAATGACAGTGTTTTAGTTCTGTAGTCAAGGGTGATAGTTACTGGGTTACCAATCAATAACAGCTGTTCTACACATGGTAGTCTATCAATTGGCCTAATATCATCTACCTAAAATAAACAAATATATTCAAAGTCGTTTTAATAAACAAGATGATGAATCAAAGCACAGAAGGCGCTGAATTTGTTTGGGTCTCAGTATGTCAGAAAGGTGAAGGTTGTGAGATTATAAACCAATTTGTTTTTGTATAGTGCCACCAATGCTTTCCAGTGTTTTAACTGCAGTAAATTGGCTATAAGACTAATTGCAACACTGATAGTCAATTCAATGTTTATTTGATTTAAAAAATGAAAAAAAAAATGAGTTGCCTCAACTGGGATTTGAAATCTAGACCTCTCGATTCAGAAGCGGGCAAGCAAACCCCTCGGCCACGGTGAAGTTATATGTTAATGGGCTGAAGAAAACCATATTATTCCAAATTAGGGTTTTTAACTATTATTTCGACGCTAAACCTGTTGTTTAACACAGATGTAAATAATCATGGAGCTTACTGTAAGCATGTATATCTATAAAGAATAAAACAATATTAGAAATCATCGACCATTCGGGAACTACTTTGCTTGAAAATTAATGCGCCTGTCATTTGACAATCTTTACGCATTGATCTCCCCTGGATTTTTCGGCGTTCGTGTACATATAAAGGGAAGTAACCGCTTCAAAAAAGTGGACTACTTTAGGCATTTGCAATTAACAGCATTAGGCTCTGAAATTTCGCTACCATTATTTGTTTGGTCTGACAACCCAAACAAATAAAAACCATCAATAGTAGTGTTTTTGCAAAGACTTTCAATTTGACAGTTTAAATACAAAACAAGCTTAATTTTTAAAAGTAGAAAAATCATTTTAACCTTGATGGCCTTGACCTTGGGACCATCAAAGTCACAACACAAATAGTACAGGATCATGCATATACATCCTGTATCACAATTACAGATATACCATGATTTGGGGTGACTCGAGGACATTAAATATTTAAAACATCAGCCAATAAATAAAGGTTCTAGCGCAATCAAAGTGCAAAAAGGAAACACAAATGCTTTTAAAATGTTGCACATAAAAAATTTCTTAGTAAAAGGCTTGTTGCATAATTACTGAATCTTGACTTTGTTTCTATGACGTTATAAATTTTGCATCTAACACTTAAAGCAAAATGTTATCAATATATCAATGAAATATTTGGGATCATGATAAAAAGTTACATTTATAACATGTACATTTTACACACATAATTTCCTATCACTCTACATGTAATGTGGATATCAAGTCTTACAGCAAAACATTTTTTCAAGAGCAAACTTTATATCTATCTACATGTATTTTACTATAACTTTCTTCTTAACAAAATTCCCAAAAATACACATTAGCAGTTGCATGTGTGTTAACATTAAGGACAAGATCTCTTAAAGCAGGTAAAAGTGTGTAATTTTAAGTCAGTAGCAAGTTAAAGTTTTTGACAAATGAGCCACGTCACAACAAAACCAACATAATGGGTTTGCGTCCAGCATGGATCTAGACCAGCCTGCGCATCCGTGCAGTCTGATCAGGATCCATGCTGTTCGCTATCAGTTTCTCTACTTGTAATAGAATTGGTAAGCAAACAGCATGGACCCTGATCAGACTGCGCGGATGCGCAGACTGGTCTGGATCCATGCTGGTCGCAAATCCACTATGTTGGTTTTGTCATGGCGTGGCTCAAATTATTTTATAATAACTTACTGATGCAACTTGATTATAGCTGAGATCTAGATGCTCCAGAGAGAAAAGTTTAGATAACCCTGGAAAATACAAATGATACACAGATTATAATGTAATAACAGGTTTGAATTTTTAACTCTCAAATGCATACAAGTAAACAAAGGTGCTCCAAATATCTAGGTTCTAATTCTTTTCACAATGCAGAACACAAATATCAATGACAACATCTAAATCATAAGTCAATTTCACTCTAAATATGCTAAATAATTTTTGGACATAAAATCAGAGATGTCATGTGAGTTTACCTTGTAAGGAATGTAATCTGTTTCCGGCCAGATTGAGGGTTTTCAGGTTGCCGAGTTTGGAATGCAGAGCTTCCAGCTCTTCAATATCATTATATGACATGTCAAGGTAAGTCATGTGACTCAACCACTGTAGGTGCTTGATTTCTGTAATCTTGTTATGACTGAGATCTAACCTTATCACCTTTGGCATGAGTTGCTGAAAATAAATAGCAAAATTTGATCATTTGTCTGAATTTTTTATTATTATGATTTTAACACATTTTACGTTACTAACCAGTAATAATCATGTGCTCTGCAAGTTACCAACTACTAATCCAACATGTATGAGCATTCAAGACACAAAAGACAGTTCAACTCAATGTTTGAGAATTATTGTCAAGGAGAAATTTCGCCTCATCAAAGGATCATACTAGCTATCCTTGAATTACAAATGAAATGCTTTCCCTGCTGCACTTAATTTTGAAGCTGTTACTGTAAAAGTTAAATAATCTCTGATGTTCTTAGCATCATTTTGTAGTTTTTACAAATTATTTCCATATACTCTAAAGGAGAGCAAGATATAGAGAATATTGAATGAGTGTAAGTACAATACTGAATTTATTTAACAAGTTGAATAAAGTTATATTATGCAAGCCTCTGGTGAGTGTTATATTATTTTATTCAATGGCTTTAATAAATTTAGTCATCAAGGTACATAAATATAATATTCTAATTATTATATATTCATAATAATAAGCACTGTTCAGTTAAACAACATTTTCATTGAGACATTTTAAGTGTAACACACTTATTTACACAATGTTTGTGCACGTATTTACACTATGTTTAACACAAATGACATCACATCAAAATATATGCACGGAAGTGCAATACTGTTTTTACGGAAATGCAAAAGCAGCACTGGTATGTGATAATTTACATCGTCTTGCTTCCACTTACCATAGCATCGTCTATTTCTGTGATAGAATTATTACTAAAGTCTATGTGTGTTATACCATCCCAATATGATACCAATAAAGTACCGTCATCCGACTTCCATTGTGGTAAATCTTGTAGTAACACTTCCTGTAATAATAATAAATGTACTTACATATCTTAACATGTTTAATGTAACAAAATGTATTTATCTATGATGAGATATGCAACAACATATAAAATTTTAAGAAATATTTTCATAAAATATATAAACTGTTGTGAATTATGTTGTTTCCATAATTATATGGTTGATTCTTGCAACAGTTGTAAGATAGAATGTCTCTGATATTTAACACACATGGGTATTGCATGTAAATAGAATAAAATATTCCGGAAAAAAAAGGCACACCAAAACAATTTAGATCATATGGCACTGAAACAGGAAAGACGATTTTGGCTTACTTTGGGTTTTACAAACTTAAAGCAACACCAGGGGTCAAAACCACGGCACCTGCTGGAGCTAAGACTAAGAGATTCATAGACTCTAATAATTTGAACCCATTTTGTCGCCTCTTATGACACAATAACTTAATAGTGTATTATTCTATCTAGACACATACCTTTATAGATGACACAGATTTGTTTACTGTTAGTGTCTGTAAGGTTTGTTTTACTGTCTCTAACCCTCCTATCAATGCTATATTAACTGACTGTAACTGAAAATTAAGTTATATCTTTAGAGCAGCATACTTCCAGATTCAGGCTAACTGTTGTGAAAATTTTGAAAATGTATTTAAAAGTAAAATATTGTAAAGTGAACAAAGAAAGTAATTATCACATACAACACAAGTAAATTACAAAAAAGATGTAAAAATGTGCAAAAAGAGCCCATACTGCAGTTAATCACACATAGAAATATGATGATAAATACTGCAGTCAGTCATTAATTGCACATAGAACATGTAAATTCCTATTTAAATCTTGAATTTTTCTACTTTTCTTACAATCTTAGATGTTGTTTAGAAAACATTTCATTATGGACTGTTCCAAACTCAAAGCAAGACAAGTCCATTACATAAATTTGGCATAAATTCAACTCATAATGTAATTTGTGTTTACTTACCTCTATTTTTTGTAGAGATTTGAACAGTGTTAGATCAAACTGTAGATGATTCATATCAATATTACTGTTACCAACCTTCTTTCCTCCACAGATCTGTTTATATAACACAAGTGATAGCTTGTTATAGTTTCTGACTTTATCTATAGGTTTAGGTATTTGATTATGCTTTTTATTGTAACTGTTTTTCTCTCTGAATTGTTCTTTAATTTTTTCAGAATATGAATCATATTGAAAAATTTTGAAAAACCAATGTGTTACTGATAATGTGTTATCAGAAATTAGTTAAGTTATTATTATTATTGTGTTATTACAAAGTTCAATTAATGTACTGTTGGAATTTATTATCAATAATAAATACAAGAACCGGTTGAACCGGGTGATGCTCCCCGAGAAGGTTCTGGACACAGGAAAGTGTAAAAAAATGAACAAAGGGCAATAACTCCAAAATTAGACCAGGCTTTGTTTAGGTTCTTTAAGCGTTGCAGTTCTATCCAATTATATCTAGCTACCTACAAAGTTTCATGTTGATATCTCTAATAGTTTTAAAGTAATGTCCAGGACAAAAGTCAAAAAGTAAAAATAAACAAAGGGCAATTACTTCAAAATAAGGCAAGGCAGAGTAATGATTCTTAAGCACTGCACTTCCACCCATGAGACCTATCTATCTACAAAATTTCATGTTGATATCTCTTATAATTTTAGAGTAATGTCCCAGACAAAGTTCAAAGTGTCAAAATGAACAAAGGGCAATAACTCCAAAAGTAGGCAAGACAGTGTCACAGTTCTTGTGCACTGCAAACTTACTCAATGAGATCTCTCTACCTACAAAGTTTCATGTTGATATCTCTTATACATTTAGGGTTATGTCCCGTACAAAGTTCAATGTGTTAAAAAAACAAAGGGGGATAATTCAAAAATTAGGAAAGGCAGAGTTAAGATTCTTGTACACTGTACACCTACTTAATGAAATCTATCTACCTACAAAGTTTCATGTTGATACCTCGTATACTTTTAGGGTTATGTCCCGGACAAAGTTCAAAGTGTTAAATAAACAAAGGGGGATAATTCAAAAATTAGGAAGGGCAGAGTTAAGGTTTTTGTACACTGCACGCTTACTCAATGAGATCTATCTACCTACAAAGTTGCATGTTGATACATCGTTTAGTGTTAGAGTTATGTCCCAGACAAAGTTCAAAGTGTGAAATAAACAAAGGGGGATGATTAAAAAAATAGGCAAAGCAGAGTTAAGGTTCTTGAGCACTGCACACCTACTCAATAAGATCTATCTACAAAGTTTCATGTTGATACCTCTTATAGTTTTAGAGTAATGTCCCGGACAAATTTCAAAGAGTAAAATAAACAGAGGGGAATAATTCAAAAAATTAGGCAAGGCAGAGTTACGGTTCTTGTGCACTGCACACCTACTCAATGAGATCTATCTACCTACAAAGTTTCATGTTGATACCTCTTATAATTTTAGAGTTATGTCCCAGACAAAGTTCAAAGTGTAAAATAAACAAAGGGGGATAATTCAAAAATTAGACAAGGCGGAGTTACGGTTCTTGTGCACTGCACACCTACTCGATGAGATCTATCTACCTACAAAGTTTCATGTTGATACCTCTTATACTTTTAGAGTTATGTCCCGGACAAATTTCAAAGTGTAAAATAAACAAAGGGGGGTAATTCAAAAATAAGGCAAGGCAGAGTTACGGTTCTTGTGCACTGCACACCTACTCAATGAGATCTATCTACCTACAAAGTTTCATGTTGATACCTCTTATACTTTTAGAGTTATGTCCCGGACAAAGTTCAAAGTGTAAAAATAAACAAAGGGGGATAATTCAAAAATTAGGCAAGGCAGAGTTACGGTTCTTTTGCACTGCACTTCTACTCAATGAGATCTATCTACCTACAAAGTTTCATGTTGATACCTCTTATACTTTTAGAGTTATGTCCCGGACAAAGTTCAAAGTGTAAAAATAAACAAAGAGGAATAATTCAAAAATTAGGCAAGGCAGAGTTACGGTTCTTGTGCACTGCACACCTTCTCAATGAGATCTATCTACCTACAAAGTTTCATGTTGATACCTCTTGTTGTTTCAAAGTTATGTCCCGGACAAGAAAAGCGGACGGACGGAAACACGGACGGACGGACAAGGCGGCGACTATATGCTCCCCCGAAATTTTTTCGGGGAGCATAAAAAAGTACAATAGCTGTCTGTAACATTCAGTAAAATGTAACTTTGGGTAACAGATCTAATCCCATAATGTTAGATAAACACAGTGAACAAGAGTTTTCTGGTCCTTTGGGATCATTGATTCCAACACTTTTAAGTGTTGAAAATTGAGTACTGCTCAAGCCGGTGCTAGGGGTCATGAGGGATTTTGCACTTTTTCATTATTTTTCTCATGTACAGACTGAATCAAACAGCGTATGCAATTTTCATGTAATTTTGTTGTGATTAATGCTTCTGAGGAATCACACTTTGTCAAGATATTCATCCCATTTCCTTCAGAAGTTTTGGAGAAATAAACTTGAATGTGAAAATCTTAACCAAAGTGTACTTCATAGTCAAGCTAAAAATAAACAATCTAATCACCTTGTTAACAACCAATTAACACTTGCTTACATTGAACAACACAAATGTCAGATAACAAACATATAGACATATTTGTACATTATTATCTGTAATCTATATAATCAATATTGACATTGAAGTTCAGATAAATGAACCTTACTATATCTGTTCATTAAAATCATAGGTAACACAAAAGTTTTGATCACTTGAATAAGTTTAAAAACATTGATGTAAGGACAATTGTTATTGATCATGTAATTCATATTTTGAATTCACTTCCTGGCCACAAGGTTGTAAACTATTTTTTCTGAGTTCTGTCTCAAATCTCAGGATTGCATTCTATGGCAATTTCTGACCAATCAAATACTGGAGATCTGAATTTGAGAATTTATTTATAACCGCAGATCCAGGTCTAGCCAGTGCTGGTGTCCTAGGAGAAAAGATGACTATGACTCCACAAGTGAATAGAAAATATTAATCACTGTGTTAAGTGTAGACACCTTAACAATTAGGCCACTATTACCCGTTGAAATGAATTGATTCTAAGCAATCACTGTTTGTACACCTGAAATGTAGTTACATGACATAAGAATTATTAATGTTATGTAAATGCATGCACTTGTACATACCTGTATACATTTTAATCTTGTTATGAAGTCCAATATATGTCCTAGATCTCTTTTCACATCACCACTTTCTAAAATAAACAGATAAGAAGAAATGCAGTACAGATGAAATGCTTACAATTTCAAAACAAAATATTTTTGAACTTGTTAAGAATCCTTTCTGGTATGAAAAAAATGTTTCAAATATTTATAAAAAAAATAATTCATTTACTGAAGTGTCTCATATTTTTATTACTTCAGGCCCAGTATTAATCCTGGTTTTGTATATTGGATATGCCCTGATGCAGCCGATTCAAAGTTTATGGGAAATTAAAATTACAATATTATAATACAGAAATTAAGGTACCAGAAGTATCAAGCCTGGTCAAAGGCATATCACAATCCATTCCAGAGAGTTAAGAAAACCAAAGTTAGATTTGAAAGGCTGCTTTAGGTTTCATGTCGAACCAAATCAGTATAGGTCATATGGCAACTTTCCAGCTTTATTTGGGGAGGAAGACATCAGGTGCCCTTATATGCATTATTTCGGGCACAAACAGGCATTTGAGTAGAACCTTTGACCTTCTGAAACATGGCTGGATAGCTTTCTTGCATGAAAAAATCTGAAGACACTGGCGCGGCTTGAACCTACAAAGGTGATGGACAAGTGGATTGAAGTTGACAATCTTAACCACTGAACTACAGACTCCCTAGATTTGAAAGGTTATAACAAAGGCATGACAAATAATTTTCCTTAACAAATCTTTTGTATCAAATGAAGTAATCCATAAGTTGGGTCACTTTCTAAAGATTGTATATGTAATGGTTCAGAATTGTGGAATACTTGTTAGTTACTGTTGCTGATATTCAAATGAAATTCTGTTACAAGCAGATGTTAACAAAATCTTACCACATGTAGGTTCAGGGAGTTTTAATCTTTCTGTGAGTGCATAGAGATGGAGAGGTGTGGTTTTGTAAATTTCCCTCATTTGTAATATCATATCACCTGTAATATACAACAGTAATGATATGATATCATATATCCTGTAATATACAACAATTATGCTGAAATATCATATCTCCTGTAATATACAACAATTATGCTGAAATATCATATCTTCTCTAATATACAACAATTATGCTGAAATATCATATCTCCTCTTATATACAACAATTATGCTGAAATATCATATCTCCTGTAATATACAACAATTATGCTGAAATATCATATCTCCTGTAATATACAGGTATGATAAAATATCATATCTCCTGTAATATACAAGTATGATGAAATATACAATTAAAATGAAATATCATATCAGACATATCTCCTTTAATACACAAGTACATTTGTATGATGAAATATCATGTCTCCTGTAATATACAAGTATAATGAAATTCTATATCTCTTGTAATATACAATTATGATGATATATCATATATCTTACATGTATAATGCATAACAACTATAATGAAATTAAAATATATCATTAAAGGAGTTTTGCAATCAAAGTTCTTTAGCAAGATATCCTGACTTACCTTTCTCATAAAGCTCCTCTGCCATGCCCTGAGTGATACCATGAATTTCCTAAAATGCAAAAATTTCTCAGTATGTCAAAAGATACACAAGAATGAAAAGTATTGCAACAAATATATTGAATACAATCTTATTTTCTTAACTAGTACTCATTTATAAGTATAAGTAATATATATATTGAAACTGCATACAATATACACAATATATGTTGTAAAATAGAAGTTAAACTTTTTAAAGTATCATTCATCATTTTTTTTACCAACTTATACTTTCATAAGTACTTACATATTGATCAAATTCCAAGAATGAAGCAAAGCAGTTAGGCATTTTCTGTGCCACAAAATGTAGTACTGTCTGTAGGTATATCTCAAGATCATTTTGGCGTTTCTTTATAAAACTCTCAGACTGGTTACCAAATAGTTTCTTTGGAGGTAACAAGTTCTTGTCTAGTTTACATGATGAACAAAGCTGAAATAATGCAATGACTGTGAGCAGGTCTTACTTTAAACTATGAACTAACAAATGAATTCATGTAGACAAATTGCCATCTGTATTTTTTTTTCAATTAATAAGTATTTTACCAATAAAACATCATAAACTAGAAGGGTTTTTGTCACAAAATCATATGTCTCCCAAAACGATGTATGGTCACTCATGTGAAGTTTCATTAAAGTCCCACCAGTATCTTGACCTGTGAAAGCAGGACAAGATTTTTCTATTTATAGCTCTGATAGCCATTTTGTGCAGCAAAGCGGAACATGTCGGAGATATGCATATCGAGGGATGGTACTGTTCACTCCTGTGAAGTTTCATAGAAATCCAACCAGCAGTTCTATTAATTCTAACGGATGGACAGATGGCAAGGTCAGAAACAAGATGCCTCCAAAACATTTTGGGAGACATAATAATATGTATGTCAATGTGATGGTGCAACATTTTAGTACATGAAATTTCCCTATAGACTTGTTTTACTCATGAAAACAATAGACTTTTTTCATGTACTTGCACATCTGACTTTATCAATCAAAGATATAATGTTATAAGACAGTGTTCGAAATTAGCAGAAGTCCGATAGCCCCTGACTACTAAATTTCTCCTCGGGCTACCAACTTTTTACAGTAACAAGCCCGACCAGACTACTGTATTTTCAGAGGCAATATAAACAACTGTTTTGAACGATTCAATCGTCCTAGTGAAGATGTCTTTTGGGCTAGTGAATATTCCAATCTGGTAGTCTGACCGGCCTAGTGGATTCAAATCTGAATTTCTTACACTGATAAGATAAACTTTTGTTCATTCAAATTGAATGGAAGCATTTCTTACTAAGAATATTACTAATATTGCTAAACATAGTCAGATCTAACAATTCCTTTTAACAATGAAATTCTATATCTCAACAAACCTTTTCATGTAAGAAGTAAAAGTCACTATATCTATGTTTCACCTTCCATGAATATGGCCCTATAGTTACTTCTATCACATAGACCTACAAAAAGAAATATAGAAAATTAATACATAAATTATACAAACATATCATCACACAAACCCATTTGTCCTTCCAAACTTAGCTTCAAAGTATTAAGCCCCCCCAAACACTCTCGCCTGCCCTCTTATGGACAAAGTTCATGTTTTATCTTAAGGAACTCAAAACTCCTTTATATCCCTGTTTATAAAATCATAGACCCATATCCCTGACCAATATTTTACATCATTCTAGTTCTTTATTTAAATTATTGTATTCCTTCGTTAACAAAAACAACATTTTCAGCTAGTACCAGCAATGTTTTTTTTGTTAGGCCACAACTGTGAAACCCTACTTGTACTACTAAATTTCCCACAAGAGCTTAACAACAACCTCGAATCCCACAACCAAACTAATCATATTGTCATGTATTTCTCCATGGCAATTGACAATGTTGATTATCTGTGGCTGAACTACAGGGCTTACTATAAGTGTTTGCCCCTAGTACTAATTTAACCTTGTCAAATCCTTCTGGTGAAACCAATCACAAAACGAAGCTGTTGGTCATTTGTCAAATGAACTCCCAGTCTTTTCTAGAGTTCAACAAGTGTCTATCCTTGGTCTTAGCTTATATTATAAATGACCTACCAGACAAATGTCAAATTATGACCAGACTGTTTGCTGATAACAATATTTGTTGACCTATACTCTATTTATAAATGACTGTATATCTCTACAGAAAGATCTTCAAAACCCGAACCACTTATATCCCGCTTCTAAAACTACTACTTTAACTCTTTCTTATCACAGACTGTGTATACCAAACTTTTACTTATAATTACTTCATGAAGTTCCTCCTATAACTATTCTCCAAGCATCAGGCTTATCAAATCAAAGCCACAAATCTATTGTTTGATTGTACTATGTAGATATTCAGAATATTACATGATGAAGTCCTAGAAAACTGTTTCTCCTAAATCAGTAAATGGGAGATCATGTGTGGCACTGTATAGCTAAGTTGTTTAGACCACTGACTGTCACTCCTAAGGTCCAGGGTTCGATTGATCTATAGATAGATCGATCGATAGATAGATAGAATGGGAGATCAACTCACAGACTTGTCATGCTTTACCGGCCATGCTTTACTTCTTAATCTTAAGGAAGCACAACAAAGTTGTAACACATCTTGCTACATAAAATGATATCTTACTTTAACCTGCAATGACAGTTAATTCGTACTGATTTTACATCGATAATATTGAAGAGATGATTAGTGCCGAGTTCAGTTGGTGAAAGGCCATACCAAAATAACGCAATCCGGTCAACTCGTCCCCTGGTCAACTCGTCCTCTGGTCAACTCGTCACCTTTTTGGTCAACTCGTCCCCTACTTTTGGTCAACTCGTCCTCAAAGAGTCAACTCGTCCCTAATATGGTCAACTCGTCCCCTACTTTCGATCTTTTCGTCACTATTATGTTGTAAACCAATGTCTTTAAATAGTTCTTTCATGTAAAATTAATAATGAATTTGATTGATATCGAAATATTGATAAAATAACGTCTTTTTTACGTACAATTTTAATGATCTTTATCTAAGCGCACGTGCATAGCTTTGATGTAAAACTACAAAGAAAGGTAAGTTTGCAAACATTCAATTAATGTTTAATCAATCGGATTTTTAATGTTAATTAAAACTAAAATTAGGTCCAACTCTTTGATTTTTAGATTGTATGTTACTTCTCATACATAAAAAAATAAGTCTTAGACAAAATTGTAGCGAATTTGAGAAATGCCTTCATGGATTCATACATCACCGCATTAAAGAGATAAATATATCTATAATAGTTGACCAGTGCCTATCTTATTGGTATTGTTATATACTTCTATTATTTTATAGGATGGCTTAGAAGACTGAATCGGAGGGCCGGGGGAACGCCTCCATTCTACCTTTTGGTTAGACTTTTGTACGATGAGGCCCAGGTAGCGGTAAGGAACTCTGAATTGGTTAGTGAAGGGAGACTTCGCCGTTACCAGCGGAAAAAATACACCTTTCTCCAGGGACAGACGCACCAGCTGTGTGACAGGTACAGGAATGGGGAGTTGTCATCAACGGGACTTCTGAGAGAATTCGGGAACTATTATAAACCCCAAGAGTCGTAAGATGTCAACAACAAAAAAACACAATGAAATATGTGCATGCAAAAAAAATGAAAGTGAATATATATGACATAATATTGACAAAAAAGACATACTATATGATATTTTATTATTATGCATATATATACTTATTATTAGAAAAAAAACTCCAAATATTCGCATACAAAAAGCGTCAAAATATGTCCAATTCAGTCATTTTATCATATATTTTAACAGTCTATAATAATTTATGGAATATATGATAAACAAATAATAATAAAATATAGGGGACGAGTTGGGGACGAGTTAACCAGGGGACGAGTTGTCCAAGGGACGAGTTGACCAAAAAGGTGACGAGTTGACTAGAGGACGAGTTGACCAGGGGACGAGTTGACTCTGAATCAAAATAACTCTGTCTCAATAATCATGAATAGAGATGAAAGACATGATGATGAGAAAATCTATATGGTTCAATGGTTGAGGAAGTCAAAACATATTTTTTATGAACTTATTAGGTTATTACCGTAAAAGTTTCTGTGATCTCTGTATCAGTAATTTTGATTGAACTATTGGCTGTCACATTGTCTATGTCTTTACCGAACTGTGCCATGATTACAACGGAATATTATCATTTTTGTTATATTAACCTACGCCCTCTGCACTAGAGTTAGTTCCCCTGGAATTTGGCAACTGAGTGAAATGTTCGTATTTGTAATGAAAAATTGTCCGTACATTGTTTTTCATACAGAACCATATAAAATTAAAGGTTTAAAAATTACGTATCATAAGGGATATAGTTTTTCTTTATCTTATTTTGATAACAAATACAAATATGAAAATAATTCGATTCTAATAATATGCAGAGGACTGACGGAAAGGGCCGAAAAGTTGCGATTGTATCCGAAGACTTACGGAAAGAGCCGAAAAGTTGCGATAACAGTTACAGCAATGAAAACCGTAAGATTCAATTGGACATGAGGTGATTGGATGAAAATGGGGGTATTTTAAGAATGGAAACTAATTTAGAAAGTATTCTACCATTGTGTACACAGGTCTTACTGACGATATTTGAGAGACCGGTGTGTATACAATGAGTATACTACTGAAGAAAAAGAAATTCTATGATAATTTGTGACTTGGATATTTGCATTTATAAAAAGTATATTCAGCAGAAAATTTCAATAATACGGGTGTAAATCCTCCTTGAAGTCATTTTGCAAAAAAAATGTTGGTTACCCCTATATAACAGGAAAATTTTTCTGTCAGGCATTTCATTCAGCTAGAAAAAATCACATCTTTAGCATAAAAAAAACTCAATTTTAAGGTTGCATTAGGGACCATTTCTTATGTAAATCTATTTGAAAATCAATGTGAGTGTCTGACCAGGAAGCAGGAATAATTATTGTAGTTAAAGTTAGAAACCACAAAATGTCCAAGTCGGGCGAATTCTTACGTAAGTGGCCCAAATGTAAATGCAATCTGTTACAGAAAAATACAATTAGGCTTATTAAACGACTATAAATACCTTAAATTGATGGAAACAATTTCCTCTTTGTATTTTGTCCTTCATTTTTTTCTGCATATATTTTTTTAGTTTAAATAGTGATTAATTGATAGGTTCGGATGTCCCTATAGTTTTCATAAGAAAAATCATGGTCCATAATATTATTATGTTTGAATTTACTATTTGCGAAGAAGAAGAAAACCTAACTGCGGTTATTCTACTATAGAAACGTAATTTTAAATCTATTTACTATTATTTAGAGTTAAAATAAATTTTCATTGACATTGTTGCGCTGTTATGATATTTTCTATTCTGTATTAAAAAAGTTGGCTTTATTTTTAGACAAAAGGTATCTGTCTTCCTCTAAAATAGTGAGATCTGCAAAACGCGCTTTGACTGATTCTTCTTTTACAATAATAGCTACGTTCGTTTATGATAGTTATGGTCATGCATGGGGGGGGGTAAAAAGAGTAGCTAGCGTGATAGGCTACACAAGCTACTCAATCCACTCAGGTATAAACCTATCAACAGTGATAAAAAATGCAAAAACCGAACACCTTAAGCCCATAAGACTTAAACAGACAAAAGAGTTGTGCAGAAGGTGAAACTGTTAGTCAGGTTAAAACAGGATAAAATCTGTATACATGATGTGATGTAAGTAAGGAAGGAACACGTACTGATGCAGCCAGCGCTGACTTAAATCCTGGGATAATGTCAGCGCTAACTGCACATTATGGTGTAGTGTGTTCCATACTAAACAGTTCCTGGAAAGAATGACAGTTTATGGTAATCAGGTATTCGATAAACCATGTGATGATGAAGGCGTGTTTGTCTATTATATAGAGTGAGCTCACGGTCGTCTCACTGGTTCTTGGTCTTTGAGCCTTACATTTCTATTCGACATCATCCGCCCGATTGCGTTGCGGATTCGATTTTGTACAAGTGTGAAGAGTGTCCTTTACAGAAATGTAAGGCTCAAAGCCCTAGAGCAAGTGAAACGACCGTGAGAACTCCGAGTGGCGGGCCTGTTTTATACAAAAAAAATGCTGTTACATTTACATTTTTTTGTAAATGTGCGTAAAAAACACAAGACACACGCAGTCACTGCTTTGACACCATCCGTCCGATTCCGTTGCGGATTCGATTTTGTTCAAGTGTGAATAAGCTTAGTGTTTACTTTAGATATAACTGTATTAACAATTTCTTCTCCAGACAGAACATTTTCAATTTTCAAACCAAGATATTTGACTGTCTAAGTTGATTATATAGTGTGACCATTGCATATAATATTGAACTTATTAATCTTTCTAAATTTTTTCTTTGGACCAAAAATCATACATGCAGTTTTCCTAAGTGGAGAGACAGTTTATTATCAGTCTGATATGATCTAACAAATGTATAAGACAAGTATCTTCTGAAACCAGATTGGTGTTCATAAAATAAAATTATTTTTAACAAGATATGATTCTAATTGATTATATACAGCTCTTTCTAAAATCTTAGAGATAATACTTAATATACTAACAGGCCTATAATTGCCTACTTCAAGTGTACTAGTTTTCTTATATAATGGTTTCACCCTGGCAAGTTTTGAATCATCCGGGACAAAATTTTCTCTGATAGACATGTTTATTATGAAAGCAACATGTAATTTCAGAAAGCTAGCTCCATCTTTTAAAAATCTTGCAGGTATTCCATCCAGACCTGTACTTTTACAAATATTTAAACTGCAAAGTTCTTTAAAAATACACAGTGTTTCACTACGTGAGTTAGAATTGGAGTAAAATTGGTTAATAATAGTGGAATCAATAGTAAATAAATTATTGCCAGTTGGAAGTTTTTCTACAAGTTTGGCTGCATCAGTTGTAAAAAAATCGTTAAAATGATTTGCAACAGAGACTGACTCGTGTGAATTTTCACCGTTAATATTAAAACAATGTTTGTATCAGATTTCTGATGATTGTTATATCCAAGGGATTTTAAATTCTGACAAAGCGTTTTGGGATAAAATTTGTTTTCTTCAACTTTATTAGAAAAATATTCAGATTTAGCTTTTCTGATTTGTCTTTGTACAAAAAGTTTTATAGATAGATAGATAGATTTATTTCGGCAAAGGAAGCATATACATAGTTGACAATATAACATAGGATAAAATAATGAGCATTATTAAATACTATATCACGTACGAGTAAAACTATGACATGCTCACCAAAACCAAGGATAACACAAAAAAGGGCAAAAAAGCTCTTATTTCCATTGTGGTCCTTTGTATTGGCGGCATGACATAGAGAGGCAAACCTTAAAATAATCATGTTTAAGAATACTAATAAATCATAAAAATGTATATCACAGTCAAATCTTGAGTTAATGATACTCCTGTTTACAGCTAGGATTTAAAACACATATTACTAAAATTGTAATAAGATAAATGGCAGACAATTTAAAATCCTGAGCCGAAATATGTAAAAACATGTTTAAAAAAAATTTTTAAATACTGTTCATAAGATGACTTTTGATGGCAACCTTAAAACTTTGTAACCTGTTGATCTCCGTTAACTTTACAGGTAAATCATTCCATAATTTAATACCAGAGAAAGCAAATGATTTAGAACCCTGGCCTTTGACCTTAGGTAGACAATATCCACCCTTTTGACTAAGTCTTGTACTATAATTATGAATGGAATCTTGTGAAATAAAGTGTTCAGACATGTAATCCGGAGATAGGCCATTTTTTATCTTAAAAACATGACACAACATTATCTGTTCAACTCTTTTGTGGACCGGTAACCAGTTAAGGGACTTAAAGTGGGATGGGTCAATGTGGGCTCTAGAGTCCAAGTCAAGTACAAATCTCATTATTTTGTTTTGACAAGTTTGTAACTTATTTTTTAAAGACTGTGTCAAGCTATTATACCAAACAGAGCATGCGTAATCATAGTGACACTGAATAAGAGACATAACCAGAAGTTTCTTGGTATGCTGAGTAAGAAACTCTTTCTTGCGGTAAAGAAATTTTAACCGAGAGTTGGCCTTCTTAAGAACAGACTCGGCCATGGCGCAAAATGACAGATTTTGGTCTATAGTAATCCCAAGATACTTGATAGATGAAGTTGATTCAATGGATGTACCAGAACAGGTTATATGCAGGTTAGATTGTGACCTAAGTTTTTGCCTGGACCCAAATAAAATTGACTCGGTTTTACCCAAATGCAATGACAACTTATTGTCCACTAACCATTGGCTGACCAATTCCATATCATCTGTCAATGCCTTTTCAACAACAGATAAACTTTTACCAGATACAAGGATACCAGAATCATCAGCATACAAAAGCAATTTATTTTTGACCACAGCTGACATATCATTTACATAAATTAAAAAGAGAAGGGGTCCAAGGATTGAGCCCTGAGGAACACCACATGTTATTTTGGAATTGGAAGAATAAGTACCAGAGACATCTACAAGCTGCTGTCTATCTGATAAATATGATTTGAACCAATTTATGACGTCAATACTATGACCTGATGCTTGCAGTTTCATTAAAAGAATGGAATGGTCGACTGTGTCAAACGCTTTCTGCAAATCCAGCAGCACCATACCAACAACATTACCTTTATCATTTTCATACCTGATAAAGTCTGTAAGGTGAATCAGACAAGTATCAGTAGAGAAGCCACTCCTGAAACCTGATTGAAATTTATACAGCAGATCTTTATCCTTAAAATAAGCTTCAACCTGGTCATAAACCACCTTTTCAAGGATTTTAGATACAACATTTAAATGGACACAGGCCGGTAATTACCAACAGACAATTTGTCGTTCTTTTTATAGAGGGGAACAACTCTTGCAGATTTAAGGTCATCAGGGACTTGACCTTGGATAAGGGATAAGTTTATGATATGAGCTAATGGACTAGCAATAACTGGGGATCCATCTCTGATAAAACGTGAGGGTATACCATCTAAGCCAGTAGCTTTTTTGACACCTAATGAAGTTAAGTATTTAAGAACTTTACTTTCAGAAAACAATGGAAAAAGAAAAAACTGTTTGCAAAAACACCCTTGTTTGCATAAAAAGTATTAACAAAATTCATACCAAATTTATGCATACTTTCTGGCAGCTTTTTCAACAAGTTTACATGCAACTGTTGTATAAAATTTGTTAAATGATTCAGCAATAAGTTTTTTTT